TTATCTGTGCTGCAGGTTGTTGTATCCTTCTCCCCATGATATTATCTGTGCTGCAGGTTGTTGTATCCTTCACCCTCATGATATTATCTGTGCTGCAGGTTGTTGTATCCTTCACCCTCATGATATTATCTGTGCTGTAGTGTGTTGTATCCTTCACCCTCATGATATTATCTGTGCTGTAGTGTGTTGTATCCTTCACCCTCATGATATTATCTGTGCTGTAGTGTGTTGTATCCTTCACCCTCATGATATTATCTGTGCTGCAGTTTGTGTATCCTTCACCCTCATGATATTATCTGTGCTGCAGGTTGTTGTATCCTTCCCCCCATGATATTATCTGTGCTGTAGTGTGTTGTATCCTTCACCCTCATGATATTATCTGTGCTGCAGTTTGTTGTATCCTTCTCCCCATGATATTATCTGTGCTGCAGTTTGTTGTATCCTTCACCCCATGATATTATCTGTGCTGCAGGTTGTTGTATCCTTCACCCCATGATATTATCTCTGCTGCAGGTTGTTGTATCCTTCACCCCATGATATTATCTGTGCTGCAGTTTGTTGTATCCTTCTCCCCATGATATTATCTGTGCTGCAGTTTGTTATATCCTTCACCCCATGATATTATCTGTGCTGCAGGTTGTTGTATCCTTCACCCCATGATATTATCTGTGCTGCAGGTTGTTGTATCCTTCCCCCCATGATATTATCTGTGCTGCAGGTTGTTGTATCCTTCACCCCATGATATTATCTGTGCTGCAGGTTGTTGTATCCTTCACCCCATGATATTATCTGTTGTGCTGCAGTTTGTTGTATCCTTCACCCCATGATATTATCTGTTGTGCTGCAGTTTGTTGTATCCTTCACCCCATGATATTATCTGTGCTGCAGGTTGTTGTATCCTTCTCCCCATGATATTATCTGTGCTGCAGGTTGTTGTATCCTTCAACCCATGATATTATCTGTGCTGCAGGTTGTTGTATCCTTCACCCCATGATATTATCTGTGCTGCAGTTTGTTGTATCCTTCCCCCCATGATATTATCTGTGCTGCAGGTTGTTGTATCCTTCACCCCATGATATTATCTGTCCTGCAGGTTGTTGTATCCTTCACCCCATGATATTATCTGTTGTGCTGCAGTTCGTTGTATCCTTCACCCCATGATATTATCTGTTGTGCTGCAGTTTGTTGTATCCTTCACCCCATGATATTATCTGTGCTGCAGGTTGTTGTATCCTTCTCCCCATGATATTATCTGTGCTGCAGGTTGTTGTATCCTTCTCCCCATGATATTATCTGTGCTGCAGTTTGTTGTATCCTTCACCCCATGATATTATCTGTGCTGCAGTTTGTGTATCCTTCACCCCATGATATTATCTGTGCTGCAGTTTGTGTATCCTTCCCCCCATGATATTATCTGTGCTGCGGTTTGTTGTATCCTTCACCCTCATGATATTATCTGTGCTGCAGTTTGTTGTATCCTTCACCCCATGATATTATCTGTGCTGCAGTTTGTGTATCCTTCACCCCATGATATTATCTGTGCTGCAGTTTGTTGTATCCTTCACCCCATGATATTATCTGTGCTGCAGTTTGTTGTATCCTTCACCCCATGATATTATCTGTGCTGCAGGTTGTTGTATCCTTCTCCCCATGATATTATCTGTGCTGCAGTTTGTTGTATCCTTCACCCCATGATATTATCTGTGCTGCAGTTTGTTGTATCCTTCACCATCATGATATTATCTGTGCTGCAGTTTGTTGTATCCATCACCCTCGTGATATTTATTATCTGTGCTGCAGTTTGTGTATCCTTCACCCCATGATATTATCTGTTGTGCTGCATTTTGTTGTATCCTTCACCCCATGATATTATCTGTGCTGCAGGTTGTTGTATCCTTCACCCTCGTAATATTATCTGTGCTGCAGTTTGTATGGAGATCGCAAGAAGGTGCAAACTTGTCTTTTATCAACAGCAACATTACGTGCCTTTTAGACCACATGGAAATGACAACAGGGAACTGACATCAGGGAACATACAACAGGGAACTGACATCAGGGAACATACAACATGGAACTGACATCAGGGAACATACAACATGGAACTGACATCAGGGAACATACAACATGAACCTGTATGTCAGGGAACATACAACAGGAAACTGACATCAGGGAACATACGACATGGAACTGACATCAGGGAACATACAACAGGGAACTGACATCAGGGAACATACAACAAGGAATTGACATAAGGGAACATACAACATGGGACTGACATCAGGCAACATACAACAGGGAACTGACATCAGGGAACATACAACAGGGAACTGACATCAGGGAACATACAACAGGGAACTGACACCAAGGAAAATACAAAAGAGAACTGACATCAGGGAACATACAACAGGGAACTGACATCAGGGAACATACAATAAGGAACTGACATCAGGGAACATACAACATGGAACTGACATCAGGGAACATACAACAGAGAACTGACATCAGGGAACATACAACAGGGACCATACAACAGGGAACTGACATAAGGGAACATACAACAGGGAACTGACATCAGGGAATATACAACAGGGAACTGACATCAGGGAACATACAACAGGGAAGTGACACCAAGGAACATACAACAGAGAACTGACATCAGGGAACATACAACAGAGAACTGACATCAGTAACATTAAACATGGAACTGACATCAGGGAACATACAACAGGGAACTGACATCAGGGAACATACAACAGGGAACTGACATCAGGGAACATACAACAGGGAACTGACATCAGGGAACATACAACAGGGAACATACAACAGGGAAGTGACACCAAGGAACATACAACAAGGAACATACAACAGGGAACATACAACAAGGAGCATACAACAGGGAACATACAACAAGGAACATACACCAGGGAAGTGACACCAAGGAACATACAACAGGGAACATACAACAGGGAACATAGAACAAGGAACATACAACAGGGAACATAAAACAAGGAACATACAACAGGGAATATACAACAAGGAACATACAACAAGGAACATAAAACAAGGAACATACAACAGGGAATATACAACAAGGAACATACAACAAGGAACATACAACAGGGAACATACAACAGGGAACATACAACAAGGAACATACAAGAAGGAACATACAACAGGGAAGTGACACCAATGAACATACAACAGGGAAGTGACACCAAGGAACGTACAACAGGGAACATACAACAAGGAACATACAACAGGGAACATACAACAAGGAACATACAACAGGGAACATACAACAGGGAACATACAACAGGGAAGTGACACCAAGGAACATACAACAGGGAACATACAACAGGGAAGTGACACCAAGGAACATACAACAGGGAACATACAACAAGGAACATACAACAGGGAACATACAACAGGGAACATACAACAAGTAACATACAACAGGGAACATACAACAAGGAACATACAACAGGGAAGTGACACCAAGGAACATACAACAGGGAACATACAACAGGGAAGTGACACCAAGGAACATACAACAGGGAACATACAACAGGGAACTGACATCAGGGAACATACAACAGGGAACATACAAAAAGGAACATACAACAGGGAAGTGACACCAAGGAACATACAACAGGGAACATACAACAGGGAAGTGACACAAAGGAACATACAACAGGGAACATACAACAGGGAATATACAACAAGGAACATACAACAGGGAATATACAACAAGGAAGATACAACAGGGAATATACAACAAGGAACATACAACAAGGAACATACAACAGGGAAGTGACACCAAGGAACATACAACAGGGAACATACAACAAGGAACATACAACAAGGAACATACAACAGTGAACATACACCAGGGAAGTGACACCAAGGAACATACAACAGGGAACATACAACAGGGAAGTGACACCAAGGAACATACAACAGGGAACATACAACAGGGAACATACAACAAGGAACATACAACAAGGAACATACAACAGGGAACATACACCAGGGAAGTGACACCAAGGAACATACAACAGGGAAGTGACACCAAGGAACATACAACAGGGAACATACAACAAGGAACATACAACAAGGAACATACAACAAGGAACATACAACAGGGAACATACAACTGGGAACATACAACAGGGAACATACAATAAGGAACATACAACAGGGAACATACAGAAAGGAACATACAACAGGGAATATACAACAAGGAACATACAACAGGGAACATACAACAGGGAACATACAACAGGGAACATACAACAGGGAACATACAACAAGGAACATACAACAAGGAACATACAACAGGGAAGTGACACCAATGAACATTCAACAGGGAAGTGACACCAAGGAACATACAACAGGGAACATACAACAAGGAACATACAACAGGGAACATACAACAAGGAATATACAACAGGGAACATACAACAAGGAACATACAACAGGGAAGTGACACCAAGGAACATACAACAGGGAACATACAACAGGGAAGTGACACCAAGGAACATACAACAGGGAACATACAACAGGGAACTGACATCAGGGAACATACAACAGGGAACATACAACAGGGAAGTGACACCAAAGAACATACAACAGGGAAATGAAAACAGGGAACTGACATCAGGGAACATACAACAGGGAAGTGACACCAAAGAACATACAAGAGGGAAATGAAAACAGGGAAGTGAAAATTATAAGAATGACAAAAACAGACATGACACGAATTTAACACCTTCTGCAGCACCCATATAATTATTATTTATCATAGTTCTTTTATATGATTATTATTTTGTACCTGAAAAATAGCCATTGAACAATAAGATCCGGAATAAGATCTTTTTACATAACAGTTCTGAAGAGGGATATGTGGTCACCATAGTGAAGCAAAGTGTGCCAACCAAACCGAAGACACTCATTCTTAAGAAGATTCAAGTTACTTTCTCATCTCTGAATGTTCTGCTACATAGACAAATAGCACCACACGTTACAAGATGTTTGGAGAAGAACATTCTTTGTTGTTAATTGGAGGTTACGCCATGATGGATATGTGGATATGTCTTTCAAGGGAAAATGTTATGGTGGTATGTATTTACAATTGCGTGTAATCATAGGAGATTTTAAACCTTTTTTCAGAAATAGGTATGAATATTGATTTCATAATGCAACCGAAGTATATTACATAACAATATCCAGGGCGAAGGCGCTCACTCTCGGTGTCCTTACTTTAATAAAGAAATTGATATTCTACCTGAAGCCATCATAAGGATTAATAAGAATCCGTTCCACACAAAGTCACATACATTTGGAATATAAAATAATACAGAAATGACAATGAAGTTATAACTGAGGCAGATCATACTTTATTGCGTACAAAGTCCATAGCCTCGTAAAAGGAGGTATCAAAGTGTCGAGGTCCATTGTTTTCTTTCTTGATTGTGTCAAAGTACCACTCTTCTATACAGTCCAAAGCAGCAGGCTCAAAGTCTCCCAGGAACTTGTTAACAAAGAGATGTTTCTGTCTGGTGAGAGACGGGAGGTCCCCCACGCCAACGATACAAATCTCCCGTAGGTACTTTCCTTGACAGTCATCCAGGTAGAACCATAGTCCATGGTCCCAGTTCTTGTAACGGGCGGGGAAGGGCTCTTCGTGAGGTTCTCCTGCAATAGCAAACGTGACGCTCAGTATTCCAAGTCAAAGTGGCGATATCGGTTATCCCCATGTATACCTTTACTAGCTTAGTCTGTTGTTCACCTGTGTACATTCCAGTACTTTTTGATGTGTATACATACATGTGTGTACGCGGGCCCACGTGCTTATTGACTGATTCGTCCTGTGCCTAACATGGGAACAACATAATCCCATTAAACATTGATACACTATTTTCAACGATTTTTGGGAGATGTTATCCTAATTACGTAGAAGTCCTTCCATTTGCTATTCACAAGCTATCCACTGCTGCTATGACGTCATCAGTCGAGTCGAAATCGGGATGTTTACCTCTGTGGGACAGATTCAACGCCGACTTTTACCAGTGTGGGTCAAACTCAACACTGACGTTTACCTGTGTGAGACAAACTCAACACTGGCGTTTACCTGTATTGGGCAAACTCAACACTGACGTTTACCTGTATGGGGCTAACTCAACACCGACGTTTACCTGTATTGGGCAAACTCAACACTGACGTTTACCTGTGTGGGACAAACTCAACACTGACGTTTATCTGTATTGGGCAAACTCAACACTGACGTTTACCTGTGTAGGACAAACTCAACACTGACGTTTACCTGTATTGGGCAAACTCAACACTGACGTTTACCTGTATTGGGCAAACTCAACACTGACGTTTACCTGTATTGGGCAAACTCAACACTGACGTTTACCTGTGTAGGACAAACTCAACACTGACGTTTACCTGTATTGGGCAAACTCAACACTGACGTTTACCTGTGTAGGACAGACTCAACACTGACGTTTACCTGTATTGGTCAAACTCAACACTGACGTTTACCTGTATTGGTCAAACTCAACACTGACGTTTACCTGTGTGGGGCTAACTCAACACTGACGTTTACCTGTGTGGGGCAAACTCAACACTGACGTTTACCTGTGTAGGACAAACTCAACACTGACGTTTACCTGTATTGGGCAAACTCAACACTGACGTTTACCTGTGTGGGGCAAACTCAACACTGACGTTTACCTGTGTAGGACAAACTCAACACTGACGTTTACCTGTATTGGGCAAACTCAACACTGACGTTTACCTGTGTAGGACAAACTCAACACTGACGTTTACCTGTATTGGTCAAACTCAACACTGACGTTTACCTGTATTGGTCAAACTCAACACTGACGTTTACCTGTGTGGGGCAAACTCAACACTGACGTTTACCTGTATTGGTCAAACTCAACACTGACGTTTACCTGTATTGGTCAAACTCAACACTGACGTTTACCTGTGTGGGGCAAACTCAACACTGACGTTTACCTGTGTGGGGCAAACTCAACACTGACGTTTACCTGTATTAGTCAAACTCAACACTGACGTTTACCTGTGTGGGGCAAACTCAACATTGACGTTTACCTGTGTAGGAGAAACTCAACACTGACGTTTATCTGTATTGGGCAAACTCAACACTGACGTTTACCTGTGTAGGACAAACTCAACACTGACGTTTATCTGTATTGGGCAAACTCAACACTGACGTTTACCTGTATTGGGCAAACTCAACACTGACGTTTACCTGTGTGGGGCAAACTCAACACTGACGTTTACCGGTATGGGGCTAACTCAACACCGACGTTTACCTGTATTGGGCAAACTCAACACTGACGTTTACCTGTATTGGGCAAACTCAACACTGACGTTTACCTGTATTGGGCAAACTCAACACTGACGTTTACCTGTATGGGGCTAACTCAACACCGACGTTTACCTGTATTGGGCAAACTCAACACTGACGTTTACCTGTATTGGGCAAACTCAACACTGACGTTTACCTGTATTGGGCAAACTCAACACTGACGTTTACCTGTATTGGGCAAACTCAACACTGACGTTTACCTGTGTAGGACAAACTCAACACTAACGTTTACCTGTATTGGGCAAACTCAATTTGGGCAAGTCACACTGACGTTTACCTATGTGAGTCATAGTGCACACTGACGTTTACCTATGTGAGTCATAGTGCACACTGACGTTTACCTGTGTGGGTCACAGTGCACACTGACGTTTACCTGTATTGGGCAAACTCAACACTGACGTTTACCTGTGTGGGGCATAGTGCACACTGACGTTTACCTATGTGAGTCATAGTGCACACTGAGGTTTACCTGTGTGGGTCATAGTGCACACTGACGTTTACCAGTGTGGGACAGACTGCACTCCGACGTTTACCCGAGTGCTGAATAATATTTACCGCCCATGCAATGACTGATATCTATCTGGGTTTCATTTCTGTAAGATACTGACCTCGCCACGACGCTGTTGAGAAACTGATGACAGCTTGTTTTGGCCCCAGTGATGACTGGTGGTGATGCTGACCTATGTATGCTACAGTACGGACAAATGTTTACCTGTGTGCGTCCCTGGTATACCGAGCTGTGCGTTGTAGTTTAGGGTAGGGAAGAATGTTTCATCAGGGATCAGGGTCTGTTTCACCCAGTCCAGCAGATCCTTCGCCGTTGGGTTAGTGATGGCATACTGGACGAAGACTCTGTTGACGAGAACGTGGACAGACCCCATCACAGGGCGTATATGTCGAGGCGGGGGCCCGGCTGCGCTCCATCGTCGGTAGTTCTCATTGTACCTGACACAAATCAAAGTTATTCTCAGTAGAAGACATTTATATATAATGAATTGATGTTGAGGCAAATTTCACAGAATGCCTAAGACAATATTCAAAAGATAACTTACAAATGTATTTTATATCTACACAACTGTGTAAGTCTAAATATGTATGACATAGAATTACCTCGTGAGTGTACCTGCGACATTGTTTGCCCCCTTGAAAGATTTGAGTACTTGAACAATCTGGTAATTCGTCTTCAAGGGATACTCCTGTCCAGTGAGGTTGATGAAATACTTCCAGTTTGCGTGTGCTAGGAGGTCTTCCATACAGATAAGGTCCGCCTCCAGAACAGAATATTCCCCCCACACCACATTCACTCGTCGGGAGGCAGGATGCACGTTATCAAAACACTGCAGTAAAGTTGCAACCTCCCGTGAAATTGGGGACTTCAGATCCACGTGGACACAGTACACATTGTGTGGTCGGTAGATCGCTCGGAGCAGTCGTTCCATCTGGTCCATATCTTTGTACATAAGTATACTAAACGCTAGTGGAAACTCCAGTTCCTCAGGCGTAGCATTGAGAATATATCCTCGTGAACGTTTGAACTCCTCACATTGCATGCGTGCAGCGAGTACACTTTGAGAGAAGGGGGGTATGGAGTGTCTTGGAGGTAGAGATTTGGCTCGGAGTGTCTCAGACCTGTCACCCCTAAAGATGGCAGAGCAGTTGGCTTCTGAACGACTTGGGGATACAGACAGAAAGAGGTTTTGGCGTTTGGTCCGTAGACTGATGAGGACATTCCGCACAAAATCTTCATTCCAGTAGATGCAGTTAGTGAGCAGAATTAACATGGAACTCATTACAAAGATCTGGACCAACTTTCGGAAGGACACACGTCTGCAATAGAGATTGGTATGTGATACTGACACTGATACTGTGACAGGTGATACTGATATGTAGACATTCATACAACATCCAGAACACTACCAATGTCATGGAGAAACTCGACTTGACCCATCTTGATACATCTGTTGTTGTTAATAATTGCTACCTGAGCAAGTGTTGTTGATGTCTCTACCCTGTGCTAGTGTTTCCTAGTGTTGTTGTTGTTCCTACCACACCTGGTGTTAATGTTGTTGCTACCTCGGCTAGTGTTGTTGTTGCTACCTCGGCTAGTGTTGTTGTTTCTACCTTGGCAAGTGTTGTTGCTACCTCGGCAAGTGTTGTTGCTATCTCGGCTAATGTTGTTGCTACCTCGGCTAATGTTGTTCCTATCTCTACTAGTGTTGTTGCTACCTCGGCAAGTGTTGTTGCTACCTCGGCTAGTGTTGTTGTTTCTACCTTGGCAAGTGTTGTTGCTACCTCGGCAAGTGTTGTTGCTACCTCGGCTAGTTTTGTTGCTACCTCTGCTAATGTTGTTGCTATCTTTACTAGTGTTGTTGCTACCTCGGCAAGTGTTGTTGCTACCTCGGCTAATGTTGTTGTTTCTACCTTGGAAAGTGTTGTTGCTACCTAGGCATGTGTTGTTGCTACCTCGGCATGTATTGTTGCTACCTCTGCTAATGTTGTTGCTATCTCTACTAGTGTTGTTGCTACCTCGGCAAGTGTTGTTGCTACCTCGGCTAGTGTTGTTGTTTCTACCTCGGCAAGTGTTGTTGCTACCTCTGCTTATGTTGTTGCTGCTACCTCAGCTAGTGTTGTTGCTACCTTCGCTAATGTTGTTGCTATCTCTACTAGTGTTGTTGCTACCTCGGCTAGTGTTGTTGTTTCTACCTCGACTAGTGTTGTTGTTTCTACCTCGGCTAGTGTTGTTGTTTCTACCTCGACTAGTGTTATTGTTGCTAACTCGACTAGTGTTGTTGTTTCTACCTCGACTAGTGTTGTTGTTTCTACCTCGGCTAGTGTTGTTGTTTCTACCTCGACTAGTGTTGTTGTTTCTACCTCGGCTAGTGTTGTTGTTTCTACCTCGACTAGTGTTGTTGTTTCTACCTCGGCTAGTGTTGTTGTTTCTACCTCGACTAGTGTTATTGTTGCTACCTCGGCTAGTGTTGTTGTTTCTACCTCGACTAGTGTTGTTGTTTCTACCTCGACTAGTGTTATTGTTGCTACCTCGGCTAGTGTTGTTGTTTCTACCTCGACTAGTGTTGTTGTTTCTACCTCGGCTAGTGTTGTTGTTTCTACCTCGACTAGTGTTATTGTTGCTAACTCGACTAGTGTTGTTGTTACTACCTCGGCTAGTTTTTTTGCTACCTCGGTTAATGTTGTTGCTATCTCTACTAGTGTTGTTGCTACCTCGGCTAGTGTTGTTGTTTCTACCTCGACTAGTGTTATTGTTGCTACCTCGACTAGTGTTGTTTTTCTACCTCGGTTAGCGTTGTTGCTACCTCGGTTAATGTTGTTGCTATCTCTACTAGTGTTGTTTCTACCTCGGCTAGTGTTTTTGTTGCTACCTCGGCTAGTATTGTTGTTACCTCGGCTAGTGTTGTGGCTTCCTCGGCTAGTATTGTTGTTACCTCGGCTAGTATTGTTGTTACCTCGGCCAGTGTTGTTGCTACCTCGGCTAGTGTTGTTGCTACATCTACAAATGTTGTTGCTACAGCTTGGCTAGTGGTGTTGCTACATCTACTAATGTTGTTGGCATCTCGGCTAGTTTTGGTGCTACATCTACTAATGTCGTTGTTGCCACCTCGGCTAATGTTGTTGCTACATCTACTTATGTTGTTGGCACCTCGGCTAGTGGTGTTGCTACATCTACTAATGTCGTTGTTGCCACCTCGGCTAGTGGTGTTGCTACATCTACTAATGTCGTTGTTGCCACCTCGGCTAATGTTGTTGCTACATCTACTTACGTTGTTGTTGCGATCTTGGCTAGTGTTGTTGCTACATCTACTAATGTTGCTGTTGCTAACTCGGCTAGTGGTGTTGCTACATCTACTTATGTTGTTGTTGCGATCTCGGCTAGTGGTGTTGCTACATCTACTAATGTTGTTGGCACCTCGGCTAGTGGTGTTGCTACATTTACTTATGTTGTTGTTGCGATCCCGGCTAGTGTTGTTGCTACATCTACTAATGTTGTTGTTGCTAACTCGGCTATCTCTGTTGCTACATCTACTTTTGGTTTTTGCTACCTCGGCTAGTGTTCGTACTACATCTACTAATGTCGTTGTTGTTATCCCGGCTAGTGGTGTTGCTACATCTGCTAATGTTGTTGTTGCGATCTCGGATAGTGTTGGTACTACATCTGCTAATGTTGTTGCTATCTCGGCTAGTGGTGTTGCTACATCTACAACTGTTGTTGCTACCTCGGTTGGTATTGTTACTCTATCTACTAATGTTGTTGTTTCTACATCACCTAGTGTTGTTGCTGGACCAGCAAGTGTTATTGTTGCTACCTCAGCTAGTGATGTTGTTGCTGCATCTACAACTATTGGTGGTTTTTTTATACCTCAGCTAGCATTATTGCTACCTCAGCCTAGTGTTTAGTGTTGTTGTTGTTGCTCCCCTGCTTCCTCGGGGAATGTTTTTTTTGAAACTTGGTGCTGCTGCTGCCTCTGCTAATGGTGCTAATTGCCGTTGCGTTCCTGTTAGTGTTCGCTAGTGTTGTTGCTGTTGCTAGCTCTGTTAGTGTTGTTGACGTTGCACCGCTGCAATTATTGTGTTGTTGTTGCTACCTTTGCTACTGCTGTTGCAGATGGTTGCTCAGCTAGTGTTGTTGATGTTGCTTCCCTGCTAGTGTTTGCTGGTGTTGTTGCTACCTCTGTTAATGGCAATGCTGTTTTTACCTCTGCTTTTGTTGCTACCTTTTCTACTGTTGTTGCTGTTGCTAAATCTGCTAGTGATGTTGCTCACCTTGCTAGTGTTGTTGCTCACCTTGCTAGTGTGTTGTTGCTACCTCTGTTAGTTGATTGTGATGCTGCTTTTACGGTTGCAGCCTCTGCTAGCGTTGTTGCTGTTGCTACCTAAACCAGTGTTGTTGATGCTGCTCACCTTGCTAGTGTTGTTGCTCCCTCTGCTAGTGTTGTTGCTTCTGCTCGCCTGCTAGTGTTTGCAAGTGTTGTTCCTACCTCAGCTAATGTTGCTGTTGCTCCTCCTGCTAGTGTTTGCTAGTGTTGTTGTTGCTGTTGCTACCTCTGCTAGTCCTGTTATATTGCACCCCTCTTGGATCTAAACATGTTTAGGAATGTGTTTAAATCCTAAAAGGAATACATACTTGGTGTGTTCTCTCTAACCATGTTTATAGTCTAAACACACAAATTCAGCTATCGTCTGAACACCACCTAAACACATCATCCCTATATTCTAAACATGTTGGTGGGAATTTAAACATATTTAGTGTTTAAACATGTTGAGAATTAAAACACGTTTACACATGTTTAGGAAAAAATGCAGATAATTATGTATTATCCTAATAATTTAAACATATTTAAATAAAGTCCATTTCATTGGACAGTAAGTCAAATATGGCTAACATGTACAAAATGTGTTAAATTTAGATGTGCAAATCACATTCACAGGCAACACATGTGGACCAATATTAACGTAACACTGTACAAGTAAATCAAGCCATGTTAATGGTGACCAAGGACATTGACATTTGTCAAGACAACTGTCTCCGTAGCACAGGTCGTAGCGTGAAGGTCTATACATTAAGAGGTTGCAGGTTCGTATCCCGCGGAATTTATAAATGTGTTGTGTCTGTGTGACTAATAGTATGTCTCTCATACAGGAAACGGAAGCTGGCAATGGATGTAGCTCTGATTACTACGACGATATACCCCCAACCTTTTTTAGTTGTAAGCACCACTGTCAGAGTGAACGTTCCTTTTGTTTCGTGTTGTAACTAAGTGAGCGTCACGGGGTAACTGTTTATTGTTTGAGAACCTATTTATCGAATAAGCCATTTCATTTTGTAGAGTACTGTGCCGATACATGAGCGTTCAATAACCGCCTTCTATTGTGACACATAGATTGGCGGCAACAGATGGGAGAAGGTTCGATGCAAGCTTAGATGTCGACCCTCCTGCAACTGTAATAGCTGAGTCAAATCTCTTATTGCTCGCAGAATACGAGAGACTGATATTATATTGTTATACCGTACTCCTTTCTGCTTCACCTAAGTCGGGGAGAGCCAAATGACGTTAAAAGATGGTACTTGCTGTTACCCTGTCTGGCGCTCGGCATTAAGGGGCTAAAACAAGGACTGGTCGGCTCGGAGTCAGTATTCTGTGTCTGAGTGGGGTATTCATGTTAAACTGCGGCATGGTATCTCAGTGAGCTAGAACTATAAATCGGCATCAGTCCGGACTAGTACAAGTAGCCACACAAACACACACACGTACATGCACGTCGCTATATAAGTGCAGTAATCTTGGACGCGACGTTAAACCCCATTTCACCTCACCTCACCTCACTTAAGTCGAACGCTTGAATATGCATCAGCGTGATCAAAAACGTAGTTTATGCTATCATTATAAGAAAGTCGGTTCATAATTGTAGATTGGATGTTGTTGGCAAACTATGTGGGGAGACATTCTTGTTTTCTTTATCTTATCGCTGCATTCATATACACGTAGGTTTAAACGAAAGCTACAGCCGCACATGTGGAGGACAACACCAAAACACCGATTGTATCTCACCTGTACAACACGACGCGTTTCCAAGACATCTCTGCAGATCTAACACTTATCCGTTTAGACGTCACCTGGCAGAAGACAATGCCTAGAAACAAGTTTATAAATAACCAATCGTGTCGAAATAGTCAACATAAATGGTGAGGAGACTAACTCCAATATGAATGTGCCCTCGGCTTGTGAGGGCTGGATGTAACAGCCACAGCAGCATACTGGTACTCGCACGTATCGACCTTGCTTGCAACGTGGGACTTTTGTGTACCCGTCACGTGATGATGCTTCCACCGCGAAGTTAACATCAATACATTCAGTAACATTTGCCTCCGACTATCGATGCTTTGTGTATGTTTAAATGTGACAACTGTGACAACATCGGCGTGCCCCGGGAAGGATTGGGGTGTGGTGAAGGGGTCTTCCTTCCTCCTCCTCATTTAGACACCACACGTGTAAGCTCGTGTCAGCCCCTCTAGCATGAGTGAGGGCACCAACCCAGTGCTCCCCTGAATCCAGAATACAATCTAATATTTCACTCTTAGTCTCATTGCTCACCCCTGAATGCCACAAATGTCAAAATCAATGACAAAATGGTGAAATTGGAAATTCAAACAGAAAGCATATCGAAAAAATAAAATATTATAATGGAATCTTTTAAGTACACCGATAGTGTGTTTCCAATGTTGAATCTGTGTACCAAATACGACATTGTTTGCGTGCCGCGTGTACCATTCCTCCGGGTTCCGAATACCCTCTGATTAGAACCCCGAATCCCGCGTACAAAACGGGGTTTGGCAGGCTCACGTGTGTTGTGGATAGTGTATAACAAATTCATAATATGCCTTTAGTGTAGTGTTAATATACTGTAGTGGTGGTGTCGTGTAAGTGTAGTGTAAGTGTAGTGTAGTGTAGTGTAGTGGACACTTAACATTGTATTTTGAACTCCATTTCTTTCATACAATAACACCATATTATAACATTTTTTTGGTAATCTACTCTCTGACATTTTCAATCATTTTAACCAATATCTTATGATTTTTATACAGAGATACATATACAAGGGTATGCGACCACATTCACTATATACCATTACATTTGAAGTACTATGTTTAACACCATGTAATAATTTATACACACGTATAAATGTAAGGATTCAATTTCTTTAGCCTCTGCAAAACTCCATATTTCCGAACCATAAGAGAGAACAGGAGCTATGTTTGTGTCAAAGATTTTGAAGAAAGATTTATAAGCACAATCGCTAAAATGGTCAAACGTTTGTAAAATTCCTAATAACATCTTTTCAGCTTGGATTGCTGCATTACGCATATGCCGGTTCCATGATACTTTACATTACATTAATATTACACCAAAATATTTATAAGAGGTTTCCGTCTAACGTAAATGTCCCCAAAAGTACTACTTTTCATTCTTTGACAGCGTATTTCCTTTGCTAAATACAACATTTTTTGTTTTATCCAAATTAACTTACGTTTCCACGCGTCACTGTTAACTTCTAGCGGATTTATCCAAGTTCTTTCACAGTACTTGAAAACATGATTATACCATCTGCAAATTGTAACATATATATTTTATAAGTTCGGGATGTAACAGTATACCATCATCCTAATTTATTTTGATTTGGGCTGCAAAATAAAATACAACAGAAGAAAAAAAGCTTAATACACATCCTTGGCGGACACCAGTATGGCACATAAAAGAATCTGAATACATGCGGTTTTGTTAAACACATGATTTAACCTTATAAATAGTACATAACAATTTGCCCATTTTGTTACTGACACCATGAAAATGAAACAGATACTAAAACTTGCCTCTACATACTGAATCGAATGCTTTAGAAAAGTCTACAAATATAGCGTACACTTTTCCACCTTTACGTTGAATATACCTATCTATAAGAGCCTGGAGGATAAACATATTATCAGTGGTAGAGTTACATTGTCGAAAATCTGCTTGCTCTTCCTCGATCTCGATCAAGTGTATCAGACCACAATACCAAGCGTTAATCAATAATGCTAATAAATATCTTACTGAATATACTTGTAAGTGTAATCCCCCTATAATTTTCAACATCTGTCACTGAGCCTTTCTTGTGAATTGGAACGATAGTATCAAGTGTCCAATCTTTTGGAAAGTAACAAGTATCAATTATTGTATTAAATACTATTTCCAAATAAGACAGGACCATAAGTCAAGAGTATAGTTGAAGATTTATGTTATAAGTCCACCAATTCCAGGGCTTTTCAAGTTTTTCAGATTTTGAATAGCAGATTTAATTTCTTCTTTTGAGATTGGGGAATCTAATATTTCCGTTGCAAAATTGGTTTCATCATTATCAAAAGAGTTCAATTGCAAGTTGTATGTGAATACATCACCGCTAAAAAGATTCTAAATATATTAAAACCACTCATGAATTTCTATGTTACTTTTATTTTACTTCTTTTTTGCTAATGTTTATCAAGGTCGTTCAAAATTGTTTTGATGAACTGTGGGGTCACTATGGTGACAGTGTGTTCACACAGACGTGCCTACCTTTTCAGTGTGGGGTCACTATGGCGACAATGTGTTCACATCGACGTGCCTACCTTTTCAGTGTGGGGTCACTATGGTGACAATGTGTTCACACAAACGTGCCTACCTTTTCAGTGTGGGGTCACTATGGCCACAATGTGTTCACACAGACGTGCCTACCTTTTCAGTGTGGAGTCACTATGGCGACAATGTGTTCACACAGACGTGCCTACCTTTTAAGTGTTGGGTCACTATGGCCACAATGTGTTCACACAGACGTGCCTACCTTTTCAGTGTGGGGTCACTATGGCGACAATGTGTTCACACAGACGTGCCTACCTTTTCAGTGTGGGGTCACTATGGTGACAATGTGTTCACACAAACGTGCCTACCTTTTCAGTGTGGGGTCACTATGGCGACAATGTGTTCACACAGACGTGCCTACCTTTTCAGTGTGGGGTCACTATGGCGACAATGTGTTCACACAGACGTGCCTACCTTTTAAGTGTTGGGTCACTATGGCCACAATGTGTTCACACAGACGTGCCTACCTTTTCAGTGTGGGGTCACTATGGCGACAATGTGTTCACACAGACGTGCCTACCTTTTCAGTGTGGGGTCACTATGGTGACAATGTGTTCACACAAACGTGCCTACCTTTTCAGTGTGGGGTCACTATGGCCACAATGTGTTCACACAGACGTGCCTACCTTTTAAGTGTGGAGTCACTATGGCGACAATGTGTTAACACAGACTTGCCTACCTTTTCAGTGTGGGGTCACTATGGTGACAATGTGTTCACACAGACGTGCCTACCTTTTCAGTGTGGGGTCACTATGGCAAAAATATGTTCACACAGACGTACCTACCTTCAGGGCATAGTGAACCCGTATGATCGCCAGCCACCTTGATGCATGTCTGGGGAGCGATAGTTATTGAGAGCCGTATGTTCGATCAAATCCCTGCTTCGAGCTAATGGCAAGTGCCGGAGTGCCGACTGCATTATCAATCTTCTTCATTAATTAAAAGTGGCATATCGTGGACGAATTAGTGTCGGATTAGGAATGTTTTATCACCTGGTGAACAACCTTGTAACCACAGCAGTAACTGTGACCTACTGGTGATGCCAGCCTTGTCACAGCTGTAGTAACTGTGACCTACTGGTGATGCCAGCCTTGTCACAGCTGTAGAAACTGTGACCTACTGGTGATGCCAGCCTTGTCACAGCTGTAGAAACTGTGACCTACTGGTGATGCCAGCCTTGTCACACCTTTCGAAACTGTGACCTACTGGTGATGCCAGCCTTGTCACAGCTGTAGAAACTGTGACCTACTGGTGATGCCAGCCTTGTCACAGCTGTAGAAACTGTGACCTACTGGTGATGCCAGCCTTGTCACATCTGTAGAAACTGTGACCTACTGGTGATGCCAGCCTTGTCACAGCTGTAGTAACTGTGACCTACTGGTGATGCCAGCCTTGTCACAGCTGTAGTAACTGTGACCTACTGGTGATGCCAGCCTTGTGACAGCTGTAGTAACTGTGACCTACTGGTGATGCCAGCCTTGTCACAGCAGTAGTAACTGTGACCTACTGGTGATGCCAGCCTTGTCACAGCAGTAGTAACTGTAACCTACTGGTGATGCCAGCCTTGTGACAGCTGTAGTAACTGTGACCTACTGGTGATGCCAGCCTTGTCACAGCAGTAGTAACTGTAACCTACTTGTGATGCCAGCCTTGTCACAGCAGTAGCTGTGATCTACTGGTGATGCCAGCCTTGTCACAGCTGCAGTAACTGTGATCTACTGGTGATGCCAGCCTTGTCACAGCAGTAGTAACTGTGACCTACTAGTGATGCCAGCATTGTCACAGCAGTAGTTGTGAGCTACTGGTGATGCCTGCCATGTCACAGCTGCAGTAACTGTGACCTACTGATGATGCCAGCCTTGTCACAGCTGTAGTAACTGTGACCTACTGGTGATGCCAGCCTTGTCACAGCTGCAGTAACTGTGATCTACTGGTGATGCCAGCCTTGTCACAGCAGTAGTAACTGTGACCTACTAGGGATGCCAGCATTGTCACAGCAGTAGTGGTGAGCTACTGGTGATGCCTGCCATGTCACAGCTGCAGTAACTGTGATCTACTGGTGATGCCAGCCTTGTCACAGCAGTAGTAACCGTGACCTACTAGTGATGCCAGCATTGTCACAGCAGTAGTGGTGAGCTACTGGTGATGCCTGCCATGTCACAGCTGCAGTAACTGTGACCTACTGATGATGCCAGCCTTGTCACAGCAGTAGTAACTGTGACCTACTTGTGATGTCAGCCTTGTCACAGCTGTAGTAACTGTGGCTTACTGGTGATGCCAGCCTTGTCACAGCTGTAGAAACTGTGACCTACTGGTGATGCCAGCCTTGTCACAGCAGTAGAAACTGTGACTACTGGAGATACCAGCCTTGTGACAGCTGTAGTAACTGTGGCTTACTGGTGATGCCAGCCTTGTCACAGCAGTAGTAACTGTGGCTACTGGTGATGCCTGCCATGTCACAGCTGTAGTAACTGTGACCTACTGGTGATGCCAGCCTTGTCACAGCAGTAGTGGTGATCTACTGGTGATGCCAGCCTTGTCACAGCAGTAGTGGTGATCTACTGGTGATGCCTGCCATGTCACAGCTGCAGTAACTGTGATCTACTGGTGATGCCAGCCTTGTCACAGCTGCAGTAACTGTGATCTACTGGTGATGCCAGCCTTGTCACAGCTGCAGTAACTGTGATCTACTGGTGATGCCTGCCATGTCACAGCTGCAGTAAATGTGATCTACTGGTGATGCCAGCCTTGTCACAGCTGTAGTAACTGTGACCTACTGGAGTCTTGATCTTCCAGTGATGTCAGATCTCAATTGGTCTTTATTGCATTACAAAAACAATTTCCTGGCACGTTTAAATACAATATCTCCCTTAGTGTTCCTGCTATCCTCCTAATGGTTTGTTTTTTAAAGCCACATTCAGCAATGTTCCAGCCATATGACGGCAATCTGTAAGTAATCAAGTCTGGACCAGACAATCCAGTAACAGACAACATGGGCACCGATCCACGCAATAGGGATCGATGACATGCATCAACCAAGTCAGCAAGCCTGACCACCCGATCCCGTTAGTCGCCTTATACGGCAAGCATGGGTTGCTGAAGACCTATTCTACCCCGGATCTTCATGGGCCCCAGAATTGTGACATGGAGAGATAGTAATACCAGAACATCAAAGTGCCATCCATATTTATTTATTCCATTTTTGTACACCTCTTGAAACATGTTACAATATCATGAAGATTCATATTAAATATCTTTATGGCGAGGCATAGAAGCATGATTTCATATACAATTCTATGTACAACATAAACACAAAATTAACCCTACTGACTGTATCACAGAAAAGTCATATAAGTCAGCCAGGAAGTGGGTATTTATCAATGGACAATGACCATGGAGACAGCAAATCATTAATCCCGTATCATACCGTAATATCTTCAAAATGTTCCATCACATTTCTGATAATCTTCCTTTACCAAGAGAGTCCTCTAGCCTATATCAAAGTCTAGTTTTCCCTTTGATACAGGCTAGTGGGCACACTTGCCTTGGGTAGATAATTGCCGACAAGAAAATATAATTGAGATAAGTTGATTTCTGAAGTGTGTAAACATGGATCACACAATTGTTTTTGGTTTGACGGAAACTGAACTATAAAAAAAACCAAACTATTGAAAATTGTAGTTCAAGGTTAAAGGTTTGCGGAGATTTCCAAACTGTGCTCATCAGTAAGTTCAATTCACTTGCAAGTCAGATCATGGGAACCTAGATGTTTTTCTTCCTGGCACTTGCAGGTTTAGGACTTGACATCCTGAATATACCAGTTAGTATGGCCATGTTCACACATTGTTCCTGGTTGAAAGGTGGGGGAAAATAAATATAGATATTTGTGATTTTCTTATTCTGCCATGATCGTGTTGCCAGGTTGAGGGCAGGTAATTTTTTTATAAGGGTAGGGGTGGGTCCAGGTGGTAAGGTTGGTCTTTGGACCGTCATATTTTGCTTCCCAACCCCAACCCTCCTTTTTGAGTTACATTTTTCTGTAATCCCCATCCCACTCAAAATAAAATATACCGGTACATGTACATTTGAGTAACAACGCCACCCTATGGGTCTTTTTAATAGTTTAACTGTTCTTATCTACATCAATGTCAAATACTTGCTTGTGTTTCCAATACATTTGTGTTGTTATAAGTACAAAACGTGCAAGTGTTGAACAAAGTCTATTCGCATGAACACATCTAAGACATGACAGTGTCTGAAAGGCTCATTTCTTTAATGACATAGATCTTGAAAAGTTTGTAACTATCACATCTTGTATTCCTTACTAATCAACCACCAGTTAACACTGACTGCCTCCCATGTCTCATTTATGATCTTTTCTGGATATGATGATATCTTCTGAGATGCCATAATGAATCAATGTACAATGTGCTCCCACTCTTGTGTTTAGCCTGCACATATCCATGTATAAAGTTCTGGAAGCACTCCCAACAGGTGAACACGTTCCCTTCTAGAGTGTGTTATGATAAAGATGCTGGCACTCGGACAACACTTGTTCAAGAATCTTCATACAAACATCTTCACACAAACTATTGCTGTAGTCCACGGGCATCGGCACCGGCACCACTTGACATTGCACTTCTTCTGGATCTTGTTAACCCATCTCTCAACATGGGAATGGTCACCTGTCATGACCTATCATGACAAGAAAAATGTTCTACCCAGCTTGGGCAGTGAATGCCTCAAGGATTGGACACAATTATACGTTTCTGTCATGCAAATTAAGTCATTTTATTTCATACATGATAAACACTGAAACATCAAGCATGTATTTCCGTATTTTGAACTGGTACACTTAACACTTGATACTACCTGTGGTATTATATTCTTGCAGTATGAGCCTAGAGTATCTGCTTCCATACAAGGACTAAGACACATTTCTTAGCCTAATCAAAGAAACAAACAAAACATGCTTGCTTCTATGTACATGTACAGCAATCAAATACCCACATGAAAGCTTGTTATTTACACTTTGTGTAAAAAGACCTGGGTAGCATTTTTCCCCATACAAAAATATAGCAGAGACCATATCCGAGGGTGGATATATGGTCTCTGAATATAGATTGCTTGTCTGCGCTTTATTTGCAAAAGTTAGGAAGCCATGAACCTTTCCCTCCCTGATACAATGAGTTTGGGAAGTTGTATACTGTTGAGTAAACAATAACCTTTGAATAAATAACAAAATAATGTAAACCAACCAACAAACATAGGAAACACTACAATCAATAATAGAGTGCTGTCTGTTTACACAGAAAACAGTCTCTCCATATTATTGGTGAGTTGCCATCACATTTGCATTCCCCCAGGTGGATCATGAGTATCGGTACATCAAGACACACATCCTCCAGCACTGTCAAATCACCACTTACATATGTCCCATAGAAATAACTTACAGCTTACAGCATTGGAAATTAAAGCTAGACTGTTGGCTTGTGGCTTCGAAATGTTGGACTGGTCTAAAAAGACGGAGATCGCACCTTGCCCTGCATTTATATTTAATCTGTGTGAAGAATGTCAACCATTTCACACAGTTCTTAGTACTAAGACTGATCAACTTTTGTCAAAACCAAGGCAAAGTCAGACAGACAATCCCTCTTTTAGCTTCATCCCGACAATAGTTTTCAGGAAATACTGACCATGCAACACGATGGCTAGTCAAGCTGCTGTGTTAATTTCCAACACTGTTTCAAGTCACATTAGCAGTCACATCACATTAAAACATTCATGACATAGAGACGCCGGATTAGAAGAAGAAGTATTGCGAGGCCTACAACCAGTATCAGTGCTGCAGACATGATTCCTCCTGCATTAGGCTGACCTTGACCTTCATTAAAGACTGGGGCAGGACGAGGGACTGTTGTCTGCTGGACACTAGTCTGTGGTCTTGTCATCTGCCTCTGTCGCACACCCTCTGTTGAGCCTACAGTGGGCCCTGATTGTATAGATTGGTGCACCGCTCCTGTTGACTGAGATGACGCAGAGCTGGGACTTGACTGGCTAGAGGTCACAGTAGGCGGAGCGGACTGGGTTGGAGCTGGCTGGGAGGTGCCGGGTGCTGGAGACTGCACAGAGGTTGTTTTCGTGGAGCTAGGTGTGGATTCTGAAGGACGTTGTTTTTCTGACATTACCGGTCTGCTGCTTGATGCTGTAGTGCTGGTCTGGCCCATGGGTGCCCGAGGGAACCATGAAGGCATGTGGGCCATGTGGGGCATCTGAGAATTACTGCTCATTGCTGAAGGGGGTTGAAAGAACGATGGGTGCATGAAATAAGGTGGGAATCTAGGCATTTGATTGGCAGCATTGCCAGTGTGGTTCTGCCATGCTGGTGGAACCATGAAGGGGGGTGGTGGGAAGGGGAACTGCTGGAGAGGCTGGTTACCAGGACCACCATGAAAGGGAGCCATACTAGGAGGCATTGGCCAGGGAAAGTTGGGATGGGAAGGGGGTGAAGGTGAGGTAGCAGAGGCACCATCAGGGGAAGCTGTGCTTTCATTGGTGGGTCCAGATGAAGCTCCACTCTCATTGGTCAGTGCAGAGCTTGGTTCTTTCTTTTCTTTCTCACCCTATAACACAAATTATATGTACATGTAACAATATCATCCATCTAATGGAATCCTAGTAAAATCCTAGATTTCTTATTTTTGTATAATTATCCTGCATTAATCCTTAATGCATTTATTGCTTGTTCTTGACAGAGAGAAAGAGCTTGTGAGAGGTCTTGCTGAAGGAGAAGTTGCTCCAACTGGTTGTGTGCCTAACCCTATCACACAGCTCCCATGTGACCCGGGAAGTAGTGACATCACTGAACAGCACACTACTGTTCAAACAGCGCATCTGAAGGCATCAAGGGGAGCTTGCTTTCAGGGATGGGTGGGCCAATTCAGACGAAGTAATGCAGGACAAGTATACAAATATAAAAAATATCTAATATTGTACTAGATTTTTTTACTTATCCTGCATTACTCCTTCGTGCAATTGCATCAGACAGTACGGTGGACGGCATACCATCAGATGAGATCTTCTGACTCTCTATAGACTGCATCAATCAGCAACAGCGATGTCCGGCATTGAGTGACCATTCCGGTCTGCAGGGAGGGAGAGAGTCAGGTATGTGTGGTGTCCATGTATCATTACAGTAAAAGAAGTGAAAGAGTTAAAATATAATAATGACGTACTGAGCCAATGCGTGCATCATGTAACCTTTTACTCTAAGATGCATACACCGGAGAGGTCGAAAGGCTGGCTCTGGACTTCTGGAAGTGTCAATGGTGTCTTGTGGTGGCGACCTACTGGACAACCACCAAAGGGCCAAAACTATGAACGCCTTTCACGTCTTCAAGGATGACATTGCGCAGATAGTGGGTGGCGAAGATGGTGCCCGAGTGCCAGAAGCAGCCTTCCATAATATCATGCATGGAGCAGTTGCTATGTAATGCCATGGTGGATATGACACCCCGAATATCATGAGGGTTGCTGGCCCTTGGAAGATCCAATCCCGCGGCATCATAGGCCTGGAGGATGAATGCACAGAGCCACATGTCGATCATATTACGGCCAACTGTGCACTGCACTCAAATCTGACCCAAGTGATGTCTATTGCAGTAAGCTCACTCGTTGGTGCTGCTGTTGCTAGAGCCAAAAGGAGGATGGTTTCTTTGATGAGGTTGTGGTATGACGCTGAGCGAAGCCGTTCAGACTGAGCACCCCTAAGCCAAGACATAACCACATTCAGATCCCAGGCTACCAAGGCGCTATCAATGTCAGATCGATGTTCTGAGTCGGACCCTGGGAAGGAGCACTGGCGATGGAAAAGCGTTTGCTTTTAGTCCTTCCCAAGGTACGATGAAGGCATCAACTGCCCAGGCTTGTGGATCCAGCACTCATGAGAAGAAGGTCCAAACCTGGCAGTTATAGGTCTGTGTTGGGATCGCCGAGGTGTTGACAAACAAGAACGTCTGGATGGAGTTTCCATTCTGTGGAGACTACCCTGTCCGTTCCTGGAGAGAGCATCCGCCAGAATGTGGCGACAACCTGGAATGTGTTGGATCTGAAACTGGAGGTCCATTTGATCAATCAGATGGAATAACCGGAATGTCTGCCGTAACAGGGAGGAGGAATGAGTTGTTCCCTGGTTGCGGAGACACCATACCATGGTGATATTGGCTGTGATCCAAGCGTGTTGAAGCATCTGCTTCCAGTGAGAGAGCCAGGATGAGCGCTTCAAAATCCAGGTTGTTTTTTTCCACTGTTGTTGAGCGACTTGATCCTCCAGATGTGCTGCCCAGAGTGAGGCGTCTACGAATGAGGTCAAAAAGGGCGTGAGCTCTGTCAAGGAGATGCCGTCTAAGACATTTGACTCCACCGTCCACCAATGGAGATGTTGCTTTAGGTCGTCCAGGGGGACAATGGAGACTGACTGGTTCTGATGAAGGCAGCGAGGAACACTTCCGCAGGGTGGAGCTGAAGCCCTGATGTAAGGAGAACCAAGAATGCCTGCTACAGGGTTGTTGTAGCACAGGGAGAAGATAGCGTTGGATTCGGCACCACCTGTCACTGGGTACAGAGAAAGTGGCCTCTGATAAATTGGAGATCATACGCAGGTGTGAGCTCCGATTTCCAGACATTGATAGTCCAGCCAAACTGACGAAGGAGGCGCATAGTTTAATCTCTGTGGCGGATTAGCGTGGCCGTGTCCTGGGTGTTTAGGAGGCAATCGTCGATGTACACCTTGAACTGGACACCCCACAGGTGGAGGTAGGTGGCTATCTGCTACATAATGCATGTGAATAGCCATGGGGCTGAAGAAATTACCAAATGGGAGGACCATTGGTAGTGGACTCCCTCGAAGAAAAGGTGGAGGAATTTCATGTCGATGGCACGGATTGGTACATGCAGGTAAGCGTCCTGGATGACTATGCTGATCAGGGCGCGTTGCCCTGGATCTTTGATCTGAGGAGCCTGAGAATAGACATCTGTAAGTAAGGTGGACACTCCAGATAGCGCTTGTTGAAAGCTGCCAAGTTGTGAATCATTCGATATTGGTCCTTCTTGTGGACCAGGTATATTGGTGAGTAGAAGCCTGGCATTATTGTCGGCGTGTGTACAAAATCTATGGCTTTTGGGGCTAACAGCATCTGGATGTTTGAGCACAGCAGCCGCTGTAGTGTAGGGAGGTGAGTGTCTGCTATTGGTGATGCTGTCAAGAGCGGGTCATCTTTGAGAGTGAGTTGGTACCCTCGCAGTATTTTCATAATGTGTGGGTCCCCAGCGTGTCCCAGTTCTGCCAGTAGTGCCCTTATCTCCCACCTACAGGAGTTTCGGTGACTTGAACGTTTGTTGGTGGGAGTTGCCAGTGGTAAGCGCTCGACAAATCAATACTTGGGCTAGCGGTTGCCACATCCGGCACGGGGGCGGTCATGCCGTGGTTGGTACTTGCCGGAGACCTTGCCTTTGCCCTATCCTCTGCCCCGAAAGGCCATAGAGTCACGTCTCGTTTCAGGTGGAGGGAGTTTCTCTTGGGCTGATATGTGCCTCATCTAGAGGGTCTGGGAGCATTGACATGCGATACCTGAGCCAGGGCATTTAAGGTAGTTTCATCTCAGGCAGAAACAAGAGCATGTGTGGGAGAGAACTGGACGTTAGAGAGGAAAGTGGAGGACCAAGGTTGGCGGAACAAGTCCCTATTGAACTCTGAATCCCATTTAGCCAGAGCTAAGTAGCCAAGATGGTGAATGGTTGTTAGTTCAGCCAACGCCGTGTGTACATGAGCACACATGTGGTCAATCTGGCGTTGATGGTACTCCATGGCTGTGGTTAAGTGGTCAAGTCGGTTAGATCTTGAAGAATGTCAAGATGGCCGATTGGAAGAACAATACGTCTGATAATTACTGTGGTAAATCCCATACCAGATGATAAATAATAATGAGATGGCATGAAACATTTGAAATATAGAAAGTCACACACTGTAGGCAAAATAATAAATCACAAGAATAACAATAGAGTAGCTAATACTCAAATGATTCAAACTGTTAATGCTGAGACACAAAAAACAGGTCTTGTCTCTGGGCTTGTGACAGCAGTAATGTGCTGTTCAGTGATGTCACCACTTCCGGGGTCACATGGGAGCTGTGTGATAGTGTTAGCTGCACAACCACTTGGAGCAACTTCTTCTTCAGCAAGACCTCTCACAAGCTCTTTTCTCTGTCAAGAACAAGCAGTAAGTGCATTAAGTAGTAATGAAGGATAAGTTGAAAAATATTTTAAAAATGTAAATGTGCTTAATCAATATTTGATAAAGATACTATCCTAATTCAGTTTTAAATAAATCACAGTGACCATATTTTAATGCCTTATTAAATCAAACAAAAATCCTCAGAGATCTATTCATCGGAGCACTTGACAAGGATCACGGGAAACCCATGTTGAGAACACAGTGATTTATCCAGGAATCTTTAACTGATGCCTGTGCTAGAACAATATGTCATTCTGGAGAAAGGTGTGTTCTTTTGAAAACAAGTGTGTGTTTGATACTACAATGTATTAACAGTAATTCAATACACGAACTAAGTTAGCATATATTTATATTCAAAAAGGAATCTCAAACCTAAGAATCAGTCAAGGCTAGCTGCTGAAGCACTGTCCCTTCAAACTATTCAATACAGTGGAGTAAGTAGAGATCCCCATTGAACACCACTATCAGTTAGCTGTGACTACCTGGAAGTTAATTTGGGATGCCAGTTCCTTTGCCTCCTGTTTTGTTTTCTCTGATGCCTCTGTGACGGGCTTCAGCGTGTTGTTCACACTGCCACATGATGCACACCTGAAGTCCTGCGACCTGGTCATCATATCAGTCACAATAAAACTACAAATCCTGATAAGATAGCAACTGATAAATTGCGTACTGCATGACAACATACTGTTTGATGATCACACTGGAAACTTGTGAGAGAAGACATTTATTATATGCATCAGTGTGAAAGGGAGTGCTGACTCCCACATTGACAAGGCAAAATAATGACAGATGGTCATTTGTGGAGTTTGTTATTCTCTTCATCATAAACTGTAAATTTCTTATTTAACTCATCAATCAAGACAGTTGTTTCACAAAGCTGGAAACCTGTAAGAAAAGACAGAAGCTGGGTTCACACCAATCTAAGAAACATAACCTTTTTCTGAAAAATTACCTCTTTACTTTCTATCAATATTCACATGATATTACAAAAACTGTTCTGGCTATATGTTTGGACACGTTGGCAGCACTGAGTATAAGCCTGTTGATGCTGGAGGATAGAGAACTGGCTGAGACCATATTGAGAATATAACCCAGTCATTCATGTGACAAGCAAATGTGTGACCACCTGGCTACTGCACTGAACTACAGATATACTTACTTCTTTGATAAAGTCTTTCTTTCTTCAGCACTATAGTCCAGAGACCCAATAGCGCCTCCACCATGGGTGGGCATAAACCCAATGATAGCCAACAATGCTGTCCGAACTGTGGAAAACAAATAAAATAATCAAATTCTACAGCAGTACAACATCTTCCCGAGGCAAGAGAGTTAACTGACTTTAGAAGTCCAGTTTCCACCCTTGCCGAACAAGGCTGGAATTCCCAGGCTCGATCGAAGCACCACCAGTGGTTATTGCAAGTTATGACCCTTCTAAACCTCTCCTATGGACCAATCAGATGTCACCTTTCTTATCACTTGCATTTGATTCAAACAAAATGGGGTCACACAGTCAAGACGATCTGATCGATAATCAAGATGAGGTACAAAGTAGCTATATATTCACCTGGTGATGAGGTACAATATAGCTATATATTCACCTGGTGATGAGGTACAATATAGCTATATATTCACCTGGTGATGAGGTACAAAATAGCTATATATTCACCTGGTGATGAGGTACAATATAGCTATATATTCACCTGGTGATGAGGTACAAAGTAGCTATATATTCACCTGGTGATGAGGTACAATATAGCTATATATTCACCTGGTGATGAGGTACAAAGTAGCTATATATTCACCTGGTGATGAGGTACAAAACAGCTATATATTCACCTGGTGATGAGGTACAAAGTAGCTATATATTCAACTAGTGATGAGGTACAAAGTAGGTAAATATTCACCTGGTGATGAGGTACAAAATAGCTGTATATTCACCTGGTGATGAGGTACAAAATAGCTATATATTCACCTGATGGAGAAAGTGGCCATATATTACATACATGAAAGACAGAAATTTCAGAAGTTGAGAAAAGTGATATTTTCATTCCAGTAACACTTGATATTTCGCTGGAGTGAACATAACACTTGGATGGAACTATTGCCACACAAGAGTTACCTCCTCGCAAATTGTCTCCCTTTATCGTAAATGTCTAGCCCATACCCAAACTGTTGACTTCCACAATGACAAAGCAAAATAATGACAGATGGTCATTCATGGAGTTGAAGTCGCTTCTTGACGTTTATTCTCTTCAAAATGTTTCGTCATTAACTGTAATTTCGTAAATCAAGACTTTTGTTTCGCAAAACGCCATTTTTGTTACTTAACAGCGTGTATTTGTCTGGTGTTTAATCCCTGGCCCAATCTCATTAAAATCAGATCTGAGGACATCCCATTCTGGGTCACGTCAGGCCGACCTTGTGTGAACTTTGACCAACCAATGGAATGACCAATCAGAAGGCAGCTTTCTCGTGCGTTACGGCACAAATTTCAAATTGGCGACTAGGCTTTCAAACATATTTTGACAAATACTCGATTACAAATTTGAAACCTGAACAAAAAAAACATTCTGGAATGGCTAATAGATGGTCTAGATTGTAAGGATTCAGTCGTTAAACCCGTAACTATCGTTCGGAATACACCATGTTAAAGTTTTCGAGATTGCATGACTAGAAATCACATTCCGACTGTCACTTTCATAATCTGGTAAGCGACCCACTGATTGGTCGGATGAAAGGTCGTTCTGACGTGACCCCTAATGGGATGTCTTCAGATCTTTGTTTAGTGGTAGCGAGAACTAAGGTCTGATTTTAATGAGATTGATCCCTGGCCATGTCATACCAAAAGATTATACACACACAAATGGCACATACAAATTCAACAATCATATACTTTATATTTTCATTATCAATTTCATGACTATATAGTATAACCACTTGCTCATGACCTTTCAACAGCTGACTTACACACGTGATTTAAATTACATGTAGTTATAGGCAAAGGGATGTAACCTTTTCGTTGTTTTTACACAAAAATGTGGGTTAGATCAGTCTACTCTGGCCCAACTAGCACATTTATACATACAGTGAACTATGGTTACAACAAACTCAAAGGGACCACTAATTTTAGTTTGTGATGACCGTAGTTCCTTATAAGCATTTCGACTGACTTTCCTCTGTAGTCATCACATTTAAAGACAGAATCTATCCACTTCAAAGGCTTTAGCCTAATCACAGGTTTACTATTCTTAATTGAGGGTGTTAATAGGGGTCAAGGTGTAAGAACTTAATCCAGTTAATCACTTGCCTTCAATTGTTTATTGACGTTTTGAAGGGCTGCGGGTGGTCGTGCATGTTTTGATAGGCTGATTGTGACACATCAGCAACTCAGAGAGTAACAGTTCATTATAAACAAAAGCATTGTCATTGACAGAGTACATACAGGACCGCAAAGTGAGTTCACTATATCCGTTATTTCGTTATCCGTGAACTGTGTTCGTCATATCCACTAATTTTATATGATAAAATATACAGCCAATGGCCAGCACCGAAAAATACAGTCCGTCTGTTTGTTATAAGCCTGTTTGTCATAAACGTTGTTTACTTTACATAGTACTGCTGCAACAAACCTTGCAACAAAATACTGAAATGATTTCCCTCTCAAATAAGCTTACAGTAACATGGTCCAACTAAAACGGGCTGCAGCTTAGAATCAACACAGTTAAAAAAGCGTGTATCAGTTTGCACAATGTGTAGCAAACCTTTCCAAATTGTAATAAGAATGTAGTCATCAGTATGACCAGGGGGGATAGACACAGGAGGGTTCATCACAAATGTTCACACAGAAATATGCACAACAGGTGATAGGAATTCTCCAGCTATGTTGAACATGTTAAATTAGGAGGTACACATGCTGCATACTTTGAAGGTAAACCTCCATCAACTGAATATTTGACAACACTAAATATGATCTGGGCTTGAAAGCAGAACATGAGGTTTAAATGAAATGTGGCATGTGTAGTGATTATTTTCATGAAGATGTCTAAAGGAGAACAAAAGTGTTTAAAATGTCAAAATCTTCTTGACTGGAGCCCACCCACTCAGTGTTCTATAGTGAACACGTCCAATGCAAACATTTGCATTGAATTCCCTGAAGAAGAGAGTGATCTTTCATTCCTCCAGCCTACTTACTGGACCAGGATGGCTGCCAGGACTCCGGGTGATGGCCGGATATACTTAGACAGATCTTCTTGAAGATTTCAAATCTGCCATTAGGCTACAAAACAAGAAACAACTGATGTCAAGAACTGGTTACACTATAAAACAGAGACATAACTTGTTTCAAGGGCAGTAACTCTACTGCCCACCCTATCAAACAGACATCACTTCAAGCTCCTAACAGCGATAGCTCTCTATACTATCTCTGCCACCAGTTAAAACCACAGGAACTCGATGATAGCGTATATAGCATAATATATCTGTATAGAAAAAAAAATCACACCCCTCTATATACATATAGACAAGGAGTGATACCCACCATGAGGTGTGCTGAGAAGTACAGCACCAATCATCTGATGATCTGAGTAGTAGACTGGAGTCTGGGATGCTACAAAACTGGCATGATCAGTAAACAACAAGGCCAGTGTAGCTCCAAGACAGTGAGTTGGAGAGCGAATGAGTCGAGTCATTTTCCGCACATTAAAGTAATCTTAAAGTTTCAGTTTTTCACGCAGATCACAGTTGAAATCCCCAGTAACTAGGACATGTTCACATTCATGCTGCTTGGAGAGATCCCGAAGTTTCTGCATGAAGTTAGTAAGTGAATCCGACAACTTTTGGAGGAACATACACACAAGCAATACAGAATTTGCCAACAAGAAAGGAAATGTATGTGAGATGACATTATGTGCCAAGTTTGGTAAGAAATATTGTATGTTTTTCAAGATCTGCTCCTGAAACGAGGACTACCTCCATTTTCAGTCTAAGTCAAAGTCATTGGCATGGAAACTCGAAAAAAATTATTTTTTTTAAATCCCACACTATCAAAAGGCACCAGTTCACCACTACACCTATCTATGTGCAAAGTTTGGTTAAGATATCTCTCATGGTTTTTGTGTTCTGCTCCAGAAACAAAATGTGATGGACGGACGGACGGACGGACGGACGGACAGCACCCATTCCTACATCCCCCTTCCACTTTGTGGCAGGGGATAAAAAGGCGGCCGGAAATTACGGTGCTACACGGGCTTGAACTCAGCAAAAGTTTGTGATTGCTTAAAATGGGTATTGTGATATCAGCACATGGTAAGGGGAGGGAAATTCAAGACCATTAATGATAATCTGTTCTAAATGTTTAATTGTGCTGTAGATTTCCCCAACATTTTGCAAGCAGGCTTACCATTGATGGTTTTGAAATTCCCTCACTTCACTGTATGCTAATATTTAGATCCACTATTTTTTTATTTTAGCCAATCAGAAATGTTTTTTTCAAGCCAGTGTAGCACCGTAAATCCGGCCACCTTTTTCGTGTTTGCCTCAACGGCGAAGCTTAGAGTTGAGATTTGATGGTTGTTTTAAATAAATATGAGTAAGGTGACCACAGATGAACACAATTGTGTAGCCTATGGTTTGCTTAACAAGTTCCAATAGATTGAAATAAGTGACATTCATATTTCATGTGATGCCGAGCTGTGATTCGAGTGCAAAATCTTGATTAAGAACCAGGATGGCGGGTGTCACTCCTTGTCTATATGATATAGAGGGGTGGGATATTTTTCTATACTAATATATTATGTTATACACGCTATCATCGAGTTCCTGTGGTCAAAACTCCCCACTGTGATTAGTGGCCACAACCATGCTTGGAGTTCAACTTGCAACTGACTGACCGTTGTGTTTACAAACAAGTGATGACTGCTGTGAAGCCGAATACTCTTACTCTAGATTAATTATTTTCTTTGTTCGTCAATTTTAATTTCTATTTCATTTCAACCATGATGTCATTGGTATAGTAAGAATGGAAGGGGGAAGTTGGGTGATTTTCAGCAGTCACGAACCAATATGATCTAACAAATGAAAGTTGAATTCATCTGGGAAATATGGTCAGTTATAAAGCTTTTCAAAATGAACTATGATGGCATTCCCAAAGACATAAAGTATAAACGTTACTACATTTGGGGTAAGAGGGCAAATTTTAAAATTCTTGTAATGGCTGTGCCTACCCTAGCAGCAATGTTACCGAGAGTGAACGAAAGTGTCCCTCACTGGGAAGGAGCTTGACATCACCTGTTTGAAGGGCAGTAACTCTACTGTTCACCCTATCAAACAGACATCACCTTTAAGGGCAGAAACTGTACTGGATACCCTGTCAAACATACATCACCTGTTTCCAGGGCAGTAACTCTAGTGCCCACCCTATCAAACATACATCACTTGTTTCCAGGGCAGTAACTCTACTGCCCACCCTATCAAACAGACATCACTTGTTTCAAGGGCAGTAACTCCACTGGCTACCCTATCAAACAGACATCACCTTTTTCAAGGGCAGTAACTCTACTGCCCACCCTATCAAACAGACACCACCTGTTTCAAGGGCAGTAACTCTACTGGCTATGGTGACCGTAAATTGATGTGGTATTGCTATGTGGCTCTCTCAAACAGAAATGATATTTCTTACTCTCAAATGCATACTACAAAGAAAAAGCAATGAACAGGGAGTCAACCGCTTATCAATACAGCAGCATGTTGTCAGTAAACATAGAGGCAAGGCACTGTAGCTCACCAGGTACTCCTCACATGGCCAGTGGGATAAAAGTCATCATCATTTAGAGATTCAACAGTTTTTCAATTGGCAGTGTTATGTGTGATGTGGCTCTTAAGGAAAATGTCAGGGCTACAAACATTCATGGATCACCACACTTGGTACAGCAGTTTCTAAGATGCAAGACTTTATATTTTGGGAACATCAGTTGGATTTGGAACTTGATCACTGGGATATTCATAACCACTTTCTTACTTCTTTGTAAATATTTTAATAAAAAACGCCAATCTGTATTTATTTCACATGCCAAGGCAAAATCCAAGTCACATTAAGTTTCAGCTCTCTTGGTCTCAGAAAGACTTGAAAGATTACACTTTTTAAAAGAAAAGAAAATTGAATAAATTTGTATATGCTTTAAGCCATGTTATAAATCAGATGAGAATTCTGTGAACACATTTTAGAGACACAATAACTGTGATCATTCACACAAAGTTTCAGCTCCATAGGCCTTGTAGTATCAGAGATGTAAAAAATGTAAATGTTAATGACAGACGGACAACACACCATGACATAAGCTCACTTGACTTTCAGCTGAAGATACATGAGCAAAGTACATTCTAGTCTGTAACACAGAAGCAAGGCAAGAGAACTGACTGTGAGCATCATGATGCTGGGCGGCTTCATGGGGTACTCTGGGGGCAGGATGATCCGCCCATGGAAGATGCCACCTTCAAATTCCGAGTCGGAGGGTCCACGAATTGTAAAATGCCACTCAAACAGATTGTCCTAAAAGATAATATATGCATCATATCAAATTAATAACACAGACAGTTACCCTCCAGTGCAAGTGTTTTGCTGGAGTATTACTGTTATTGTGATTGAGATTTTCATTCAACAACACTGACAAAGAAATGAAATATTCACAAACCAAAAACAAACAAATGTTACTCTTAGAACATGAAGAACTTGTTGAAAGAACATACATTGTGACATAATACACTTCTTACCATACATATTGAAGATCAACATATCTACAAGATCTGAACATGACGTATAAATATTCTATATCAACTGTCAATTTCTGGACTAAATTGTGGATTGTCATTATTATGATGATGATATGAGAAAAAGTGTGTTAGAAAGAATATTTGTAAAATGGGGCATCTTAACAGAGAATCAGGGTAGGTCACACCTCTTCTCCAACAAGGTTTACATTTTTTTCAGCATGTGTCGAATTAACATACAAAATATTCCTACTGAAGATGCTGGAGACTTTCTTAAACTGCCATGCAAACACCTGTCATACAATTCATACGACATGTGCACATCTACACTGTCACCATGGTGACATCAAGTGTGAGTGAGTCTGCTTACATCAAGAGGCTGGGCAAAGTACTGCTCTGTCGGTTCCCTCAGTTCCTGCGCCTCCTTCATCAGCCGCTTCACAGCTGAAACAAGCATCCAGATTAGTAATATATATCACCCTATGCAATAATCTCTTTTATATATCACCTTGTCTTTTCGTCTATAACATATCTTTAACAAAGTCAGATTTTACAGCATCTTCTGTAAGAGACTGGGGAGCTTGGGGAGCTGGGGGAGCTTGGTTTACACATGAACAGTGAAATCATTGTAAAAGGATAAGTGGATGGGACCTGTCCAAACCAGGCTCACTTATGTGTTATGTTTAAATGCAGGTGATATTCAAAAATAATTCATGGCAGAAATTACTTGCAAATTACCATGACTACCATACAATTGAAAACAGATGAGAGCTATTACTTGTGTGGGGCTGTTACTATGACTGCTTCTCAGTGACTGAAATATGCACTCACACAATCAGCCATGTAGTGGAGTGGAGAAATGAGGAGCATGTCAGCACATAAAGGAAGAATGGCTGAGTGCTGGTTTGTTTGTTTGTTGGTTAACGCCGCACTCGGCAATATTCCAACTAAATGATGGCGGTCTGTAAATAATCGATTCTGTACCATACAATCCAGTGATTGACATCATAAGTATCAATCCATGCAACTGGGATACGATGACATGCATCAACCATGTCAGTGAGCTTGACCACCCGATCCCGTTAGTCGCCTCTTACAACAACAATAGTTGTTTTTACAGCAAGAATGGATTGCTGAAGAAATGTTTTGAAAAATCAGTAAAACTGATAAAATATAGCTTTGGTTTTATTATATAACTGTAACATGTTTAAGGACCAAACATATTTTCTTTGAATGCTCCAGTGTGTAATATTATGTATATATAATATATAACAATATTTCCATGTTACTCCAATTGTTATTTGCAACACAACATGTATGTTGAATGTAGTCCACATGGAATTTTTATTTTGGCTGGTAGATATGGTAGATAATTAAATTTATGTAATTAAGTGTGTCTGCTAGTGTGGTTTTTGTTAACTGCACAAAGCTAACTGTCGTGAGTTGGGAGAACAATAAGTCTATCTATAGATAAGATGAAGCCGTGCGCGAAATACACATACTGTATTCGACGTAATAAGCACCCCGCTCTAATAAGCGCCCACGGCGATATTTGCTAATATATTGGCTAGTGAACAATCCCAATTAGCACCCTTCGCGTGTTATATGCACCCTTAATTATGGGAAATTAAATTCTGGAAAAATATATCTGGCGTGTCTAATACGCACAGACTTTTCTTTTGTATCATTTCAGGCTGTCAGCCTAAACCACAAATTTACGATCTTTCAACTCTTTCACCAAAATTTATATTCTAATAAGAGCCCCCTCTTTCTAATTTTGAGAGCGCCCTGGGCTCTTATTACGTCGAATACGGTATGTCAGAAAGCGCATGTTAAATTCCCAATTTAAGTAAGTAAAGTATGAAGCAGTACAGTTGAGTATCATACACTAAATGTCACATCATCACAACATATAGCATTATATATCAAGCAAAAAGTGAACTAATTCCCATTGGCAGGTTGCATATTGCCCTAAGTGGGTAGTGGTATACAAGTGTATACCGGTATTAGGGACCAGTTCAAAGGTTTGATGTTGAATAAAAACCTTAATTCCTTAAGATTAGGAGTTGGGAGGTTAATGGACCTGCAAGTTTTCCATCCGACAAAATCAACTTACCTGATTTTTCAATGTTTTATATACAGCAATCAAACTAAACCAATCCTATTTGCATTCACATGCTGTTAGGAGTTGTCATAAATACATCCAGTCTTCCACAATGTAGGGTCTTATCGTTGCCAGCAATTGTGGCAAATCCATCTAGTGCAGGGCGTAATATAGAATGGCAGATCTGATCTATAAAAACCCTACAAATCAGTTTCAACACCTAGTAAATGAACTTCAGAGGAAAACACAAGATTGCGTGACAAAAGAGTTAAAAAAAACTTCAAATTTTCGGAATGAAGTCTTTTTGAAGGTATGTCTAAAAACTTAAGGACTTGGTGTATGCCTAAAAACTTAAGGAATGAACATTTTTTTATCTGACATCAAACATTTGAATTGGTCCCTTACCAGCGTTAAATTGCAAACTTAAGTGGGTTTTACAGAGTTTCTTCAAATTACATTGGATTTTTTTGTTAAAAGATGTAGCTAACCCATACCCTACCTCAAAACTAACCCTAAGGATTGTAAAGGGATTTTGATCAGCAAGTGGTGCTAAACCCTGAGGATTGGAAAGGGGTACCTAATCCTAATGATCATAATCAGGTGCTTGATCGGAAAGGGGATCCAAGGGCTAAGGATAGAGTTGGGGGTCTATAAAGCAAGAGCCACAGTTGGCAGCCTCAGCTAATGAGTGGTGTAGTAAGCTGCGCCTGGTAAACTACATTGTTACCACTTAAGTGAAAGAGATCCCCACATTTGACTTGCAGGGACACCTTTTCACTAATACTAAAATAGTCCGCATTAGACAGAATCTTGCATGGAATAATTGCCCTGTTCATGCTCAATCACAGGTGCTGATTCGGAGATGTCCTGCTAGCTGGTAACTGTTGTCTCCTACTAAAACTATGGGTGTGACTTCAACCTGATGCGCAGCGTACATTAGTCTGTTTTGGCCAGGGCACAGCCTGATCCTCCTCACTACCATAAGTTGTAACTGATAATCAATAAAGACTTTCAAATGAATTACCTCCTTAAAACAGCAACGACAGACATCGCGAGATTGACTCAAAAAGCTCAAACATCAACATGTAGGTGGTGTGTTCATGTCTGTCAGCACACACACACACACGACACACACCACACCGAGACACACACACACACCCACACAGACACCCACAGACACACCCACACACCCACAGACACACACACACCTTATGACCGTTACGACTTTATGCCTAGTTGAGTTTGTTTTTGTTCATGAATTTGTTGTCATTTTCTACAACTTGCTGCAATAGTCCTATTCAGACAAAACAAATTGAAAACACACTTCGGAATCTTTTTGACGGTGAGTCGCCGAAACAACCAACAACAAAACTGGGTCCGATCTAATTTAGTTCTAACGCCGCAGGTGTCCCGTCTTATTTAATATCGAAAACAATTTAAGACCCGCTGCAGACAGACACCAAACGTAAAAAGTCGCGGGGTGGGGGAGGAGGGTGGTAGCTGCGATCGTCAATCAACAAACCTGGACTGCGCATGTTATATCTTCCCTCCATGTCTTATGGTAGACTGGATATCTTCGTCTAAGATACTGTGGCACTCGGAAAAGGTTCTATTTAATCAAATTACGAAGGTGATGTTGTTGACAAACGTGTCTCTTTCTCTTTCGATTAATGAAATAGTAAGGTGCGAAATGATTGGCTGTCTATGAAGTTTAGCCAATCATATGTTGTGTTATATTTCACTAGTTGTCATGCGCCATCGTTTTCCGTCACTCTTTTCCGCTTCCGCCACACGTGCGTTTGTTTTGAATAGCCATAATATTTATGACTTCGGTAACATTGGTCGGACAGGACATTTTGTAATGATGTTTCAGTCTGTACTCCCCTGTGGTAGGTTCCATTTGAGAGCATCGACACTACTTGAACTCAAGAGATTCCGCTACAAGAAGAAATGGGTATGAAAAGGAAATTCTTAATTCAACTCTTTAACGTGTCCGGCTTAATGTTTTTTTAAGTCATAGTTTATATGTCATTTTCCTAAAAATACTTTCATGTTGATCCATGTAGATATTTTTTATATTTTGAGATATTGTATAGGTTATTTTAATCGAACCTTTGTTGACGCTTCTGATTCCTTTTCACAAGTTTAGGTTTGAGACAAAAATTGCAAATTCATTATGATTATGAGATTAAAAGATCACTTGGCACAATCGTTCAGGGTGGACTTGCTTTGTCGTTTGTTTGTTTGTTTGGAATGGTTTCATTTGTCACAAACTCCGATTTCTCCAGTTGTCACACAGCAGTACAGAGGATGTGGTGATAAAAAAAAGGCTATATATGCTATTAGTAATGGAATAGACAAAATTCCTTCTAATTAGGCTGGACTGTAGGAGATAAGCTGCTGAGAGCTTAGTCGTAATTTAGATATCAATTTAAAATCCATATTGGACAATCATCAGAGTTGATATTTTATATATATATACTGTAAATCTTGAAATTAATGCATCTCCAAATTAATATGACTGCTGACCCCTTGCCAAAAATGTGACTCAGATGACGATTTCCAGACCTTGTTACAAGTTGTGCTGGGATGAACAGACATGAGCCAAGAAATTGCCCACACTATTGTCCAGTAAGGCATTCATCCTGTTTGAATGAAATTCAGGAGGAGAGTCTTGGGAATTGTTGAAGAAAAAAATGTTGGATAGTTTTATGCCCGAGGAATCTAGACATATATGGTTGTCAGAATTTCATGCACAAAAACTAAAACCAGGCGAAGATGTAGAAGTTTACGCATATGAACTAGAGCAGTTATTGATGCATGCTATTTCAGCATGTTCAAAATCAGAAGAAAGTAAAGATGCAATGCTGCGACATCAGTTTATTCAGGGTATGCCATCAGGATTAAAGGAGAAATTGCTGTCTTCCAGTGTTATAATGCAAAGTACCAAGTTCAATGACATTACACAAATGGCCAAGCAGTTTATTCTGAATGGACAATCATGTGTTGATGTGAACATTGTCAGTCAGACGTCATCAAATATTGAGAAGAAGTTAGAAGAGCTAGTTGGCAAAATGAATGAGATGACAGTGGAGATTGCAAAGTTGAAAGTAGAGACTGAACCAAGGGGCAGTGTGGGAAGGGGAAGGAAGAGGTCGTTGGGAGTTTAGGAATTGTTATAATTGTGATCAGTAATGACATTTTTCTAGAAATTGTGAGTCACAGTCATATTGTTACAGGTGTGGGTTACAGGTCACATTTCCACACAGTGTCGGGCTCCTTCGGGTTTTGGCAGAAGGAATCAGGGAAACTGTTAGCAGCTGGAATTTGGGGGCAAATTTCAGCAAACAATTCAAAGGCCCTGAATATTAATAGTTTACAACCTACTGCAGTTTATGTTGAGGCAGAGTTTGGGGGAAAGTTATCAAAATGTCTTGGAGATACAGGCACTGCAGTGTCTTTACTAAACCAGTCATTTTTGGATGGAAATTACAAATTACAGAAGCACACAATTAGTGCTAGATGATTAGGGCGAAATGCAGTAGAAGCTTCAGGATTAATGGATTTATCAGTCAGGATTGGGTGTTGGTCATTCTCTTGTGGTGGCAGACATGGAACCTGAGTGTATTTTAGGAGCAGATTTCCTCTTTACTCATGACATTGATGTCAGACTGGCGAAGCCGAAGATTGTATGGGGAAGAAATGATAGATTTCATGCAGAATTATCTATTGAGCTACCTGTGATAGTGTCGTCTTTAGAGGAGAAGGGCATGAAGGTGAATTTTGTCACTTAAGATGAAGTTTTGAAGAATAATTTTGACTTGTTTGCTGATGACAATTTGGAATAAGGTAGAACTTCGTCAAATTGAGCTTATGTTAAGAACCACCCGACCCGAGTTACCTAACCCAGCCCTACAGGGGAAGTACAGATTTTGTATAGATTTTCGTCGTGTCAATCAGTAAGCAAAAAAGATTCCCTTTGTCAGCCAAATATGGAAGATATGTTGCACAGAGTTGGGGGAAGTAGGTTCTATACTCCACTGGATTTATGCGCTGGGTATTGGCAGTTGCTGTTAGATCCTAAGGACTGTGAGGAAACTGCATTTTCAGTAAGAGATTCTCACTATGAATTTACTGTAGTACCTTTTGGAATTTCTAATGGTCCAGCAACCTGTTAGAGATTGATGAGTTCATTAGTGCAGGGTCTACAAGGGGTTTCTGCGTACATGGATGACATTCTTATCTATTCTAACTCAGAGGAGGAGCATGTTCAGAGGTTAAGAGCAGTCTTAGGAAAGATGAGAGAAGCTGGGTTAAGACTGTCACACAAGAAATGTATTTTCATGCAGAAAGAGGTTAAGTTCTTAGGGCATAGATTGTCAGAGAAGGGAATACAACCTGATGGGGATAAGGTGGAAGCTCTGGTCAACTATCCCAAGCCTAGTAATGTTGCTGTAGTGAGGAGTTTTGTAGGACTCGCCTCTTACTGCAGAAAGTTTATCAGAAACTTTGCAGATATTGCTGCTCCCTTGCATGAGTTGACCAAGGGAAATCTTTCAAGTGGACAGAAGACTGTAATACAGCATTCAAGAAACTGAAAGACAATCTGATGTCATCCTTAGTTGTCTTGAAGTCACCTACATTGGAGTTGCCATTTGTTGTGTATACAGATGCGAGTGATAGAGGACTTGGGGCAGTGTTGTCTCCGCATATTGTTGGCACAGAAAATGTTTTGGCATATGCCAGTTGAGTGATGATCTCTGCAGAGAGAAATTATACAGCTATGGAAAGAGAATGTTTGGCAGTTGTGTAGGCAGTCTACAAATGGAGAGTGTATCATTTGGGCAAGAAATTTCACATGGTCACGGATAATCAGTCACTGTCTTGGCTGAAGACTATGTAGGAACCAAAGGGAAGAATAGGTGGATAGTGGCTCTAGAGGAGTTTGACTTTGAGGTTACCCACAGAGCTGGTAAGAAGAATGGAAATGCAGATGCATTGAGCCGGTGTGTTTAAGAAGACCCAGAACTTAAATCGGATGCCTGGGAGATGCCATCTCATTTTGCATTGAATGTTAGAGTTGAAGGAGCAGATGGCCGACATTGTGCCACTATGGTCAAAAGAAGAGTTGATAGAGAGACAGCAGAGAGATCTAGCTTTGAAAGAAGTCTTGGATCAGATCAACAAAGGTCAGAATGGGAATGGAAATCTGATGGTGTTTCAAAGCGCTATAGACAGTTATGGTCACAGCTTAGCTGTAGAAGGTGTACTGTACAGAGTGAGCAAAGATGTAGGGGAGAAGGTGAAGGTGAAATTGGGTTTAACGTCGCGTCCAAGATTATTGCACTTATATAGCGACATGCATGCACGTGTGTGTGTGTGTGCGTGGCTGCTTGTACTAGACCGGACTGATGCCGATTTATAGTGCTAGCCCACTGAGATACCATGCCGCAGTTTAACATGAATACCCCACTCAGACACAGTATACTGACTCCGGGCCGACCAGTCCTTGCATTTAACCCTTAATGCCGAGCGCCAGACAGGGTAACAAGTACCATCTTTTAACGTCTTTTGGTATGACGCGGCCGGGGATCGAACCCCGGACCTTCCGCTCTCCGGGCGGAAGCTCTACCACTAGACCACGGAGGCGGTCAGACAGAAGAAAGAGTTTTGGTAGTTCAAGCTAGCTGCAGGGACGATATCTTGAGGATTATCTTACTCAGGCCATATGGGGATATCGCGGACACTGCAACACATCAAGGGAAAATACGATTGGCCTGGATGAAGTCAGGATGTGGAAAGTTGGGTGCAGGCTTGTGAGAAGTGTTCACAGAGGAAAATGCCTGTCGCAGAGACAAAGGCACCATTGCAAAGTATAGCAGTTAGTAGACCCATGCAGTTCGGGAAATTGATATTTTTTGTCCCTTGCCTGTGATAAGAAATGCCAATCAATACATTCTGGTCATGACTGATAATTTTTACCAAATGGGTGGAAGCTGTTTCCATACCAGACCAGCGTGCAGGGACAGTAGCTAGAGCTTTTCTAGAAGAAGTTATCTCAAACCATGGAGTACCTGAATATATTTTGTCAGATTAGGGAAGAAATTTCAAGTCAGAGGTGATGAGAAAATTACTTGACATTATGGGGTCAAAGAAAATGCATACATCAGTATATCATCCCCAATGTGATGGTCAAGTTGAACAGTGGAACAGAACCGTGTGCGGTATTCTGGCAGCATATGTGAATGAGCATCATACGGATTGGGAGGATTATCTCCCCTTGGCAGTGTTGGCATACCGAACAAGTCAGCCCTCATCTACATGGGTGACTCCGTTCCTTGCAGTGCATGGAAGAGATGCAACGTTGCCACTGGACCTGACAAGCAGTCCGAGTAGGGAACCATGCAAGTTATCACCTCACCTTTTGTCTGACTATTTCTCCAAGTTGCAGTTTAACATTCATAAGGTGTGGGAGTTTATGGATGCTCACCCAGTTCAGTCAAAAGAGAAACAGAAGCAGCAGTATGATCGTATGGTAAAAAGTGATGAATGTAAGACACTACAGGTGGGGGAGTTTGTGTGGCTGCATAAGCCAGTCCTTGGCGTCAATCAGTGCCGCAAGTTCAAACATTTCTGGAGAGGCCCTTATCAGGTGCTTAGGAGACTAGGGGAGGTTGACTACAGAATCATCAGAGATGGGAGAGAGATGGTGGTTACCGTAATCGCCTCAAGAAGAATGTGACAAAAGTGCAGGACTCAGGGACGGTGCCACCGAGAGGGGTTCAAACACCCTCCGATATCAGGTGTACCATTATGAGGACGTTGAGTATAGTGATAATGTGAATATGTCTGGCCCTCGAGGTCAGTCTATGCCTTCAGGACTTCATAGAAGACCTGTGCGGTGTTCATCAAAACCTGTCAGATTCAAGGACTTTATCTTGAACACAGTAAGTTGAGTAACCTTCGAGTGAGATGTATCTGCATGATTACTATTGTTTAAGTGTAATTATTATAAAATGAAATCAGTACATATATAATTCATTGATGTGCCAGTATTGACCATGATGTTATTATCGTTACTTTTGGCTTCTAGTTTTGTTAACATGAGGACATGTCACATGACCTAACATGGCGACGTCCATGGATTCGTCACAAGCTATCATTCATAGTAGTGCCGTGATATGACTGGAATACTGTTAAAAGCGGCGTTAAACCCAACTCACTCACCCATTCTAGCGTAACTATTCGAAACTTGGTAAGTTGATGATGTATAGTATTTGAAACTTGGTAAGTTGATGACGTAAGAGTGTGGTAGTGGTTGAGGCGACGGTTGTACGATGGCAATGATGTAGTAAAGATAGTGTAGTGTTTTGATTGATACAAAGTATTTGTTGAGTTTGAGTCAAATCTGGGTTGTCAACAAGTGAGTATAATGCCAGGTGGAGATACAACAAATCTGGGTTGTCAACAAGTGAGCATAATGCCATGTGGAGATACAACAAATCTGGGTTGTCAACAAGTGAGTATAATGCCAGGTGGAGATACAACAAATCTGGGTTGTCAACAAGTGAGTATAATGCCAGGTGGAGATACAACAAATCTGGGTTGTCAACAAGTGAGTATAATGCCAGGTGGAGATACAACAAATCTGGGTTGTCAACAAGTGAGTATAATGCCAGGTGGAGATACAACAAATCTGGGTTGTCAACAAGTGAGTATAATGCCAGGTGGAGATACAACAAATCTGGGTTGTCAACAAGTGAGTATAATGCCAGGTGGAGATACAACAAATCTGGGTTGTCAACAAGTGAGTATAATGCTAGGTGGAGATACAACAAATCTGGGTTGTCAACAAGTGAGTATAATGCCAGGTGGAGATACAACAAATCTGGGTTGTCAACAAGTGAGCATAATGCTAGGTGGAGATACAACAAATCTGGGTTGTCAACAAGTGAGTATAATGCCAGGTGGAGATACAACAAATCTGGGTTGTCAACAATATTTTAAAGTGATCTTCAGTATAACAAAACAAATGATTTCTCTTGTCGGTAAATAAAAAAAAAGGCCCTCGAACCCGACCCCTTCAGCAGTCTGACCTGACCTCGGCTTGCGACCTCAGGTCGGGTTCTTGGGTCCTTGTTTTTGCATATTGACCTCGTCAGGAGTAATTATTTGTATAATATGTAATACATTCAACATATGAAACCTGGACTTACAGCCCTAACTCAAATAAATAAGTACCCCAGACAAGAGAAATGCTAAATGGGAACCACTTATCCAAACAAACATACACTGTGCTTATTATGGATCATCTTTGTCGGGAAAATTTGAGGGACTGAGTGGTGCTACCATCAGTTATGCCTGCAATAAAGTCATTAACTGAGCATCAGGTTAATGATGACAAATATGGAGTATTATATTGACCATGAAGCAAAGATGACAACAAGGGCAGATGTATTGTTGTGGCCTATTCAGTATAGTTGCTTAAAAAGTAAGGTTTGTTTCTCTTAAGCATATACTAAGTGAACTTCATTCTTGCAGAAAATAATATGTTTTTGCTGTATACTGAAGAGTACATAGAGCGAGCTAAATACATAGTGTTTATTCCTAATACAGGATATTTACCATCCCCAAACACACATGCGTGATAACCTCTTTATCATATAATGTCATTCTTCAATACTGTGCTTGAAAATCGCTTTCCCTCTCTCACAAACATTACCGAACGCGCGCATTAATATTTATTACGTAACAGGTTACCGGGACTGCACATATTTAAGCCAGCCCCCCTCCCCCGAAAAACGGAAAAATAAAAAGTTTTTAAGCCCATGGGCTAAAATTAAATTTTTAACTTGAGTGATATTTCTCAACACGTGTTGTGGCAGGCCTATATATGGCTAATTTGCACCAATTTTGCACCTTACGAGCTGTTAGAGGTTTCCACATATACAAGACGCATTGGACCCCTAACGTAGGTGACATTCTTGAAACTAAGTGTGACAGTTTAAACGCATATGACAGACATGCCGTGTCGGTACTGGATAATAACGTCATTGTGGGTCACGTTCCCGTTCAACAGAGTAAATTGTGCAACTACTTTCTTCTTCATGGAGGTGTCATTCAAGTAGAAATTCTGTCACATAAACCAACACGTTCTAATCTACCGCAAGGTGGACTTGAAATTCCTGCATTGTTTATATTCATTGGCAGAGAAAAGGACATTAACAAATTGCCTAACATTTTACAGGAAATAACAGTTCAAGTTTAAAGTCATGGCGTCCAGAAAATCATTTACGTTAGGTCAAAAATTAGAAGCTGTACAGAGAGTTTAAAATGAGTTTGAAGGTAATTTAAGCAGGGCTGCCAGAGAATTAAATATTGATCGAAACGCCATAACATTTCATCCAGGAAGATCACCCATCACGGACAGCAGGACAAACGGAACTTAATGATTCAGCGAATGGTCAGCTATGATCATCTCCGTGGTGTGCAACAGTTGGCAGCAGAACTCGACAAGACCAGATATTTAACATGGATGAAACTCCATGTTACATCGACATGGCAGGGCAGACAACGCTCGACTTTGTTGGATCGAAGAACGTTGATGGCCTGACAACTGCACATGACAAAAACAGATTCACCGTTGTTCTGTGTACATGCTTGGATGGGCGTATCCTCAAGGTCATGGTCATTCTCAAGAATCTGGTCCACCTCCCAAAATGCAAAGTTCCAAAGAACATTGAGTTGTTTGCGTCCAAAGGAGGTTCAATGAATGAAACGCTGATGCTTTCTTGGATAGAACGCGTGTTCAAATCCCGTGGATCGTATTTTGCGAATCAACCATCTCTACTCTTGATAGACAGTCACAGAAGTCATTACACTGATCCTGTGGTAAAGTCACTGAAGTCCCTGAATGTCGCCACTAAACTTATTCCTCCAAAGACAACATCCTATCTCCAGCCTCTTGATGTGTCAGGTGGGGTCAACGCTCCATTCAAGACTGCAATGAGAAAAGCTTGGCAGGATTGGTTGATCAACGGGGACAAAGAATTCACCCCAACCGGGAACAGAAAGAAGCCATCTTATGATGTTCTTCTCCAGATGGTTTCGGAATCGGTGGAATCGATCCCATCTTCTGTCGTCATCAATTCCTTTCAGCTGTGTGGTGTTGCTGAGTTCGGCAATGATGTAACAATGGAAAATCTGATCTCCCGACTACGAGACATCCTCCAATCCTCTGAAGGCTTTGTTCACTCGGATGAGAACAAAGACGACGATCCCTTTGAATCTTCCACCTCAGAAGATGAAGTAGAAGACTGATTTACAGTCATTAAAGAACTCACATCGAGTGTCTAAGCTGTCTTTACAATTTTGAACTTTTCTTCAAATTTGAAAAAGAAAATCATTTTTTTTATGTTAAAGTGTTTTGTTTCATTCCAGTTGTGAGTATTGTTTCATTAAACTTGAGATATTCATTTTTCGAAGCATGTTTTTGTCCTTTTTTCGAATTTAAGCCCTGGGCTAAAATTTGGATAAAATGTTACCTTATTAAAATAGGCAAAATCCGTAATTAAGCCCAGGGCTTAAATACGTGCAGTCACGGTAAGTGATGTGTCAGTCGGACAGTGACAGTAGCCAATATAGCTCCAACTAAAATTCTTATACAGTGGTGAAGCAACATATACGCAAAACAACAATTGTTTTTACTTGCCTTTCGCAGCAATCTATCTGTATGTCCTCTAGAGTAACTGCCCTTTGTCAAAGGGAAGCTACTCTAACCCTAGTCTATGAGACGTCACAGCCACGTTCAGACGTTGTTGACAGTCGGTCTGTCCGGTCATAACGTTAAGTACAGTCAGATGTACACACAGCGACAAAACAAAATAAGGTAACAATTCAAACATATTTTGGCCAAATCCAACTATTTTAATTTGTGGAAAAGGTTTCAAGCTGCAGAGTTCGACAAGCACAGATATGGCTACTGATCCCGCTTGGCTAGGCCTAGTGCCCTCGCAAAATTGTTTCGAAATTTATATCTCCAAAGTTGCCAAAAGTTATAAAATGCCTTAGCTACGTACATCACAGTTAGACACTGATTTTCAGTATATTCCAGATTCCCGATGGTTAATTCTGACTCAATCGCCGAATGACAAGGGCGACGCCATGTTTGTTTGTAAACACTGAAAGTAGTCCCTACTTGACCTTTGATATTTGCATCTCTATCCATATATGACCCTAACAGATTTATTTTTTCATGACAAGTTGCACTAAAACTGAAAATGAGGGTGGTACTTGTTTCCTGAGCAGCTCTTCAAAACCTAGATATTTCCAGATGAAACTTGCTATACAGATCAGTCTAGTGGTGAACTGGTGCCTTTTGATGATTTGGGATTTTGAAAAATATTGAACCGCATTATTTTTTTCTTCACTCAACTGAAGGTATCCAATGGCAATGCATGGGTACAATGTGTGAAGCCCATTTCTGGTGTCCCCCGCCGTGATATTGCTGGAATATTGCTAAAAGCGGCGTAAAACCATACTCACTCACTCCAATGGCAATGAACCAAAAGTGTGGTATAAGTAGCCAAACTCCATTTCCGAATTGCACCAGACCAGGAGGATATGTCATGTCTTTATGACTCTTGTTTTTTATCAAACTGTAACTATCAGAGGTATTTTCAACTAATGACATCCGATGAGCCTCAAGCGTTTCTTTTGTCTGCTTATGTTGAAGAAATGAATCAACATTAGCTCTTCGTAATATCAACATCTCCATAGATCATGCACTAACTAATCAGTGTTGAGGAATGCGTGTAGACATTGCCTTAATCTATGGCCGCTGTCTTTACAGACGGTATGTCACCCAGTCTCTTGTCATGCAGTTGACTCCGCTGTTGACTCCAGGCACTGTGTGCCAGCTGGGCAGAAGCCAGATCCAAGTGCTCCTTTGAACATGCCAGCTGTCAGTGTTGTTACCTGTTTCCAAGAACCAAGATGAAGTGGAACATTAAAAACATTGACTTTTGATGCTAATCTCCATATGAGTCTATGCTTTGTTCAAGCTGTCTTCATGTGCCATTTAGATTTATGTTTTGCTGCACAGTATCATGGGAAGGTGCTCTACTGGATAGCCTTGGTCTAATGAAAACATTCTTTTATGTCTTACAATGTTTACAGTTGTAAAATCTCGTAATACCAATTTAGTAGTAAAATCTAAATGATATCTCCATAGCTGTTTGAAGTTCTATTTGATGTCAATTTTTTTATTGTTTCATTAATCATGTTTCTAAAGTATTCACTGACATCAACCTTGGCCTGTTATGCCATAGGGACATGTGTACTGGTTATGGAGAATTATTCCTTAACAGGTTTAGAACCAATCAAAGCCTGCGTGTGTACAGAAATGGAATGATGTGCTCTCTACACACATGCTGGAGACATGTCTGGTGATGTAGCGGGTGTGCATTGTATACACAGTATTAAATTTATTAAATTGTGAATGTCTTTATTTTTCTGAAGTCCATTTATTGAACAGTTCTTCATATCTGGTAAACAGTGCGTAACTGATTTGATTTAGGATGAGGTCATTGCAGTCCTGTATGTACCGGTAATAATTAAAAGCAAGATGAATTGTGTACAAACAATGTTTCCGTTAGCTTTTTTGACCGGCTGACTAAAAATATACTGGTCCTTATCATTTTCGGACGGTCCCCCATGTTACTGTGTAAAAACATACCTTTCGATCAGAGTTTTCTCTTTTTATTTCTGAACTGTAGCTTTGCTGCAGGAAGGTGTTTTTCACCAGAATGCATGTTCAAGATCATAAGATTGTTTAATCTTCGCTGGCAAAGTCGGTTACGACTTGCCGTATGTATGCGGTTTTGTAGACTGAAGCCGTGTTAGGCTGTTATGCTGCTGACAGGTATCGTCATGGACTGCTTTGCAGTCAGTTTGTAAATGCATCATACTTAATCACTTGTAAAATGCATCATATTTGAATGAAGGTGAGTGAATATTGATGTATACTGTAATCAGCAATAATATAGTGTGGCCATGATCATCTGTACATAATTGAGCCCAGGTAAGAAAAAAGTGTTATTATACAGGGATGTGAAATCTCCGCGGAAACGCGGAAAATCGCGTTTTTTAAAACAGTAGTCCTCGGAAAAAATCATCATCCGCGTAAAAATTTAATTTTTTTTTTTAAAAAAAACACTCCGAAAAATATGATCGAAAACCGGACAACCGTCGTGGATTGTCCTGTTTTCGATCAGAGCTTTCACCAGCATAGGTTTTCGGACATCATACGTTTTCTGTCACGAATACTTGCACTCTAACGTGGGGTGTGGCGTCACACAGAAATTGTAAATACTCAGAGTCATCTGATGGCTTGTTTTTAAGATAAAGTTGTCTTTTAGCCTGTAAGTGAATGAGATGTTTTACAGTTCATGTGATTAGCGAGAAAACTATGAATATTTCTTCAGCGTCCAAAACCCCATAACATTGGGATATATGTTGTATTAATGTCTTATGTTTGCAATGGAGTTTTGTTTTTTCATCAAAAGGTAAGTACAAGGTAAGTTTTTTTCAATATGCTTCAACATGGGGAAGGGGTCAGACATTGCACGCTTGTGACAGTTGTCCTTGTGTCTGGGGGATGGGGGTTGAAGTTTATGGCAGTATTGCTCCCAGACCTGGCGGGTAGCCAGGTGCGCGAAAGCTATGCCCGATTTTTTAAAAGTACTAAAAAAGTAAATAACTTCGAAATTTTACTGCATCTGTCATCTTGTTCATTTGACTTATTGAATTTTGCCATTGACTTATTACATTTCTTGGTGTGAATGTTGTTCAAACTGCACGAAATTGCTTAAAATGCAATCAAATGTTTTAAAAGTTTCTGGGTGGGCATGCCCCCAGACCCCCCTTGACTTTTCCTCTTTTTTCGTGAAAATCTGCTCACATCCCTGATTATATCAACCTATCACCTTGCTCTGGTATCAGGTCACATGTGGCCCTGTTGTATTACTGGTATATCAACCTATCACCTTGCTCTGGCATCAGGTTACATGTCGCCCTGTTGTATTACTGGTATATCAACCTATCACCTTGCTCTGGCATTAGGACACATGTGGCTTTGAGAATATTCTGATGGAACAAATTAAAGAAATCAAAATTCACAAAAAGTACCGTATTTTCTTGAGTATAGTGTGCACCCATGTATAATGCACACCCCCCTCTAGCGGGTTCTATATTTTGAAAAAAAAGAAATTTCAATATTATGCGCAGAAAATTTTTACACCGTACCCTTTCAGCGAAGTCCGGCAAACAAACGGGTGCTGAGAAACTTTGTCAGTACAAATTCGAAATTTGAGATAAAAAAATCACCAGACATCTTTATTTACCGTTTAAATAGTATTTATTGTTCTGCTAGGCATTGTTTTATATCTAGGGATTAAGATTACCTTGTGTATTTTCTCGTAAACTAAACCGGAAAAAGCAATCAGCTGTACACACTTTTTCTTGGAATCGACCGGTGATTCGGTCAAGACACACCCAATGATATAACTTTATAGGATTTTTAATGCAAGGATCGGCAACAATATATTGTATCTGAAACTTCTTCTTTTTTATCAGGAATAATATATTCCATTATTTTCTTAATTATATGCAGCCTTTACTAAACATATTTAAAATAATAATAACCCTAAGCGAAGCAGCTGATCGCTATTCCCGGGTATTATTTTTTACATGTGACCAGTCACCGTCAAGGCTCACGCGCACGTGATCGCGTGAATTTCATGTTGACATAGAATCGTCAAGATGTAAGTGATATGCAAGTCTGTAAATAATTCTTGTGATCCCAATGTTTTTTAGTTAATTACTTCCCAGTAACAGTTTGACCTTTACAACCAACCATGGTATTTGTTAACATTTCAAGATTGATTATTGAACTGGAAAAGAAATTGATGGTCGATTAATGATCCTTGATGAATGAGAATATTAGACAACAGTACTTTCTGTGCATTGTTGACACTCATCATGTGGATTACGACAATCTCTTTATGCCACAGATTGTTTGAGATAATAATAGAAATTAGATGCACAAATTATTGCTTACCATGTTTTCCACAGGCAACAAAGCTGAAAGAAAAAGCACACACTTCTTTGGCTTTGGAACACTTTGACACCTTTTACAAGCCAATGTATGGAGAGATGTGGCCCTCTATTAGGGTGGCACTGTTGTCTCAGCAGAAGTACTGTGCCCTTGTCAACAACTATTCTGACCATGAGAAGTCGTGCAGCAGACTGGCAGGCCTGGGGGCAAGAAACATCATAAACACTGCCCACCATACAGGAGTGAACAAACTGAGCCAGACAAACAAGCCAGAAACTGATGAATTTCAGGGTTCTTGGAGGGAACCAGTTCTTGAAGATGAACACTGGAATCTCCAAGATCGTGATGCAACAAAAGCTATTTTTGAAAATGTGTCTTTTCAAACATCAGAATGCGATATATCTAGCAGGGAGTTGAAACATACAGAAGATGACCTCATTGACCCTTTGTCACTGAATCCTGACACAAATTTAAGTGAGTTTATGCCTGTGGATAAAGTGTATTCAGAGAAAGAAGTCCTGAAGATGGCCGAGGTGCAGCAGAGCATGTTTGAGCCAAGAGACATCCAAGTGAGCACGGTCACTCCAACACCAACTGTTTTACCTCAAGAGTTAAGAGTTTATGCCTTCAACAAAGGTGATGTGTCAGCGTTCCCAGCACCCAAGCTCGATTCTACAAACGTGATGGGTGAGTGTGCATACTGTTTGTTTGTCTATAGCTTTTGGCTTTCCTCTTTTTTGTAACTTGCCCCAACATGATTCCCAGAACAGGTACTTTGCAAGTCACAGGACTGGTAGTTGCCCTGATTGTTCCGCAAAGTGAACCATGTACAATCGTTATCATTTGGGTGTAACAGGAGATGTGTTTGGTGTTTTTGTTAAATTTGGCCTTACTTTTGATATTCATTGCAATCCTAGTAGTTGGTTGGTTGGTTTGTTGTATAACGCCGCACTCAGCAATATTCCAGCTATATGACGGCGGTCTGTAAATAATCGAGTCTGGACCAGACAATCCAGTGATTAATATCATGAGCATCGATCCACGCAATTGGGATTGATGACATGTATCAACCAAGTCAGCGAGCCTGACCACCCGATCCCGTTAGTCGCCTTTAACGACAAGCATAGTCACCTTTTACGGCAAGTATGGGTTGTTGAAGACCTATTCTACCCCGGCGTCTTCACAGGCCTGCAATCCTAGTATGGGTCAACATGCATGATATGGGACTGGTGACAGTTTGGCATGAAACTCAGCCTTAACACCCGCACTTGTACTAAAGTTGCAACAGAACTATAGTTTGGTTGAAGCATCCATCGGGCTAAACATTCTAATATAAATGACTACAATATCCAACTGAAGCTACACTTGAAACTGTTCAAACTATTGGTTAATACAAACGAGACACATACATTTATACCCCTACTAGTGAAACAGTCCTCCGATGTGCCAACAATTGGCCCCATTGGGGAATGTTGTCCAGTGGTAATTTACCACGTTTTAAGTACCGATAAAGTTAATGTTTTAAATGTCTGTGTCACACCACACCATGCATGTTGACATTACAACATCTAGAACTGCAACCTGCTCCACCAATACAGCATATAACATGATTAGGGCAATGAAAGCTGATATCATGGAAACAATAAATGTATAGATATATGTATAGAATTTCACAGGTGACAGCTTGAAGACATTGAACATGTTCAGTGTAAATCTATCATCATGATCATCACAGAAGTAGGTCCAGTAGTACCTGGAAGTTGTGTATCACTAGTTAGAACTTAGTTTCACATGCTAGCGTAGACCTACTAAACCAAATGAGTTGCTCTTTCAAACAAGGCATCACTTCAGGCAAACTAACTACGATGACGGAACTTGGCTTATTTAATTCATGCTATGGAAGATGGAGATAGTTTGTTTATACACTTTTAAAATGATTTTAAAAAATCAAACGACATTTATGTTTAATTGATCACAAAGCAAACTGATCTTTATTAGTGATGTCATCATTATGTCATCAGTCTCCCCAACATCATGTTTTACACTATGGTGTGTAAGGACTGTTTCACTGGACATGATGAAGCCCTTTTTTTGATGAATCCTTGATGTGAGCTGCTCCTAGTTCACCCACATATGGTACATCTTTGGTTGTGGACATAACATGATGTCCTAGAGGCATATCCACAAATGGTAAATCTTTGGTTGTGGACATAACATGATGTCCTAGAGGCATATCCACAAATGGTAAATCTTTGGTTGTGGACATAACATGATGTCCTAGAGGCATATCCACAAATGGTAAATCTTTGGTTGTGGACATAACATGATGTCCTAGAGGCATATCCACAAATGGTAAATCTTTAGTTGTGGACATAACATGATGTCCTAGAGGTATATCCACAAAAGGTAAATCTTTGGTTGTGGACATAACATGATGTCCTAGAGGCATATCCACAAAAGGTAAATCTTTGGTTGTGGACGTAACATGATGTCCTAGAGGCATATCCACAAATGGTAAATCTTTGGTTATGGACATAACATGATGTCCTAGAGGTATATCCACAAAAGGTAAATCTTTGGTTGTGGACATAACATGATGTCCTAGAGGCATATCCACAAATGGTAAATCTTTGGTTGTGGACATAACATGATGTCATAGAGGTATATCCACAAAAGGTAAATCTTTGGTTGTGGACATAACATGATGTCCTAGAGGCATATCCACAAATGGTAAATCTTTGGTTGTCGACATAACATGATGTCATAGAGGTATATCCACAAAAGGTAAATCTTTGGTTGTGGACATAACATGATGTCCTAGAGGTATATCCACAAATGGTAAATCTTTGGTTGTGGACATAACATGATGTCATAGAGGTATATCCACAAAAGGTAAATCTTTGGTTGTGGACATAACATGATGTCATAGAGGTATATCCACAAAAGGTAAATCTTTGGTTGTGGACATAACATGATGTCATAGAGGTATATCCACAAATGACGTGAGGAAATTGAGGAAATTGTTTTGCTGTGACAAGTCAGCACAATAAGCAGGGATCCATGACCTTTGGAAAATCAACAACCTTAAGAAAAAGTGATCAAGTACTTGCAACAAAATGGTGCAGCACCAAAAGCCATCCATGAAGATATGAGTACAACACTATGGAAGGATGCCCCTGCCTATACTACCATAAGGAGGTGAGCAGCAGAGATTAAGAGTGACACACAGAGCCATGAAGACGATTCCCCTTCCTGGAAGGCCCATCATGTCAGCAACACCAGAAATTATCCAGAGAATACACAATATGGTGATAACCAACCGGCGAATAACTGATCAGACTTCCATTTGATCCCAAACATGAAGAAAGCTCTTGCTGCAACCAATTTCTGCTCGAACAATGACGTCATAGCAACTTTGGAAAACTTTTTGCAGAGTCAGGACAATTAAGGACTTCTTCGAAACTGGGATAAAATCCTGCAACATTGTCAGCAAAAGTAGATTTTTGTGAAAGAGGTCTATGTTGAAAAATAAAATCATCTTTGTCAGCAAGTCAATTCTTTCCCTGTAAGGCTCAGAACTTCCCAGTCACCCCTCGGTTGTTCACCTGAATATACCTGACATACCTCCTATACAGACCTACCCTGGGGTTTTGACAAACATGAACCCCAGTGCATGTGTAGTGTGTCAACGATAGTTGATCAAGCCAAGGTCAATGTCACGTGATATGTTTGGTATCTTATGAAAAGAACAATTTACGTTTCCATGAATAAGGAATAAGTGTTTGTGTTTTCTTCAGGTTACTATCTACTTGATGCATCATCAATTTTACCTGTGATTGCCCTTGACCTCCAATCACACGACTCTGTCCTCGACCTTTGTGCAGCACCCGGGGGAAAGACTCTTGCAATGCTTCAGTTGGTGTCTGCAGGTCAGTAACATAATTTTTGTTAATAATAAAAAGAAGTTCAGAAAGTTAGTGTGAGTGCTCTATGTTGCCTTTTGAATGAATGTGAATAGGCATGATAGAGCCAGTAAACATGACTTGAATTTCACCGACAACAGAGGGCTTCAAAACCCGGAATACTTGGTCGTCAGTGCATCAGATGTAAAGCTAATATAAAATAAGGTCAAAATAACACTTTTTTCCAATTGACCCACACAAGTAAAAATTACAGGTGGTCAGGTGGTAGTACCACATACAGTTTGTTTAATATCCACAGAAAAAAAACCCTTGGTTATGAATTGACCTCTTTACCATGTTGACTTTCATCCCTAATTTCCAACCATGATGGATATATCTTTTCCCTAAGAAAACGTACCACTTAATGGATAACAACTTCTGGTTGTTATCCTTAAAGTTTTTACATTTTCATAGTTACTCACCAACTCACCAACTCACCAACTAGAATGCAAGTCAAACAGCTGCATCTGTTCCGTCCTTGACGCTATATAGGGTACCATCATATGGCTGGAGTATTGCTGTCTGGTTTAAAATAATATTTTTTCTCACTGTATATTTGATATGTATGTGGGGAGAATATGATTTTTGTTTACGTTAAACATGATAAACTGATAAAATGTCAGTAGGGTATCTGAGTGATTGAAGTGTTCAAGACATTGAATTTGATGCCTCACTCATGTACAGATGGTGATGTCAGTTCTACATGTTCCTTACCATGGCATTCCCTCTAATTCAGCCACACTCTCACATACAAATTAGAGTTCTTGTCAGTGTTTCCGTTCTCCGGTATATGCTGGCTTTTGGTCAGTAAAAAATGGCAAAGACCGGTAAATGTTTAGTGTGAGGGTCCCAGTGTCCGGTAGAAAGAATGTTAGAAAAAAATAACTTCAACTGAGTCTCTATCTGCAACAAGGTGTTAAAACTTTGTTCACTCAACTCTAAAATCAGTCTGTGTTTCTCTTCCACACAGAAAGGAAATCCCAGTTTTCTAAAAATAAACTGGACTCGATTAAATGAAATTTTGAAAAAAACTATTAAAATATATTACAAACACAAGTCCAGATATACAATGAAAATGTTTTAAATAACAAGATAGTATGATAATGGTATTGAATTGCGTTCTTCAGTTCGGATTTGCTGACAGGTATTTCCATTGTTATGTGCTTGCGGGGATCAGCTGATAATGTTTTTTGAGATGGGGAAAAACATCTGTCGGTGTAAAACCTGAGCTTATTAAAAATGTAAGTACGTTTTTGGGAGCCATGCGTTACCGCGCGCTATAACCAAGTTAGCGGTTTATTGAAAGGCACAAATACTTGAGATTTGCGTTCCGTATCGTGGCGTATCGATAAATGGGCCTACGTTTATCGTATATCATATCGTGGGTCAATTATGGCGATGCATCGGAATATCGGTGTATCGTTTCACCCTTAGTGTTTGTTAACAAACGCGCTTATTCTGAAAACAGAACAGACTGGCCTAATGCAAGCATTTGGCGAGCTTTAGATATTGTTTTTCCAAATAATATAGATCTAGATATGCTACCACAAATGCGAAAGGTGCATGACAATATATTTTTGGGCTCCATGTGCTGTCATCGAAACCTACGGAGAGCTATTGCGATGCGGTCACATTAATGTGTAAATATCATATGTATTTTCATGCAACTCACTGTCACAGTTGTAGTATGTATAAAATTATGCAAAACAATATGTAAAGCACCCCCAAATACTTGGATTAGTATGTTCTTTTCTGATTTCTGAAAAAGCGCGTTGGTTTACAAACAAGAGAAAAGTCCAGTGACGTGATATGTAAATTAGCCTGTGGCAGTGGATCTATGCTAAGTCACCACTGCCCCGGAGTGTGATCCAATGCAAACAAAGAATAAATATGCAAATAGTGATAGTTTTTCATGTTTCATGATATTTTCTCAATGAAACTTACTTACACAATCTAAGACACATGTTTATCTAAATAGATAGGCTCGTCAAAAATGAAACAGATGAAATACACAATATTTCAGAAAGGCAATCTGAATCTCTGCATGATAATGCCAATTTTGAACTCAACCTGTGACTCATTGCAAAGATTGCTAAAAACACCAGGAGAAAATGAGCAATCGTTTATTGACAGCATCACAAATGGCGTGTTTCGTGGTGTGAAAGTTACATATGCAGATGCACGTTCGGTGCACGCTTTTCAAAATTCATGTGCAGGCTTCATCGATGAATTGTGCAGTACATTACATGCCAGATTTCCTGAAGACAGTCTGTCTACCCTTACTTGTCTTGACAAAGTCCTGAACCCATCTCACTTCCCAGATTCACGCGAAGAATTGAATAACTGTGGAAGGAATTCCTTAAATCAGCTGATTACCCATTTCAGTCCTGTGATTGGTCCAATAAATAACGACGTCACATATATCATAGATGGCAACCGGGCCAACCGTGATTTGCCAGCTACAAAACTACAGTTGTGGGACTTGGTACACACACACTTCAACAGAAATAAAAAGAGAAAACTCTGATCGAAAGGTATGTTTTTACACAGTAACATGGGGGACCGTCCGAAAATGATAAGGACCAGTATATTTTTAGTCAGCCGGTCAAAAAAGCTAACGGAAACATTGTTTGTGCACAATTCATCTTGCTTTTAATTATTACCGGTACATACAGGACTGCAATGACCTCATCCTAAATCAAATCAGTTACGCACTGTTTACCAGATATGAAGAACTGTTCAATAAATGGACTTCAGAAAAATAAAGACATTCACAATTTAATAAATTTAATACTGTGTATACAATGCACACCCGCTACATCACCAGACATGTCTCCAGCATGTGTGTAGAGAGCACATCATTCCATTTCTGTACACACGCAGGCTTTGATTGGTTCTAAACCTGTTAAGGAATAATTCTCCATAACCAGTACACATGTCCCTATGGCATAACAGGCCAAGGTTGATGTCAGTGAATACTTTAGAAACATGATTAATGAAACAATAAAAAAATTGACATCAAATAGAACTTCAAACAGCTATGGAGATATCATTTAGATTTTACTACTAAATTGGTATTACGAGATTTTACAACTGTAAACATTGTAAGACATAAAAGAATGTTTTCATTAGACCAAGGCTATCCAGTAGAGCACCTTCCCATGATACTGTGCAGCAAAACATAAATCTAAATGGCACATGAAGACAGCTTGAACAAAGCATAGACTCATATGGAGATTAGCATCAAAAGTCAATGTTTTTAATGTTCCACTTCATCTTGGTTCTTGGAAACAGGTAACAACACTGACAGCTGGCATGTTCAAAGGAGCACTTGGATCTGGCTTCTGCCCAGCTGGCACACAGTGCCTGGAGTCAACAGCGGAGTCAACTGCATGACAAGAGACTGGGTGACATACCGTCTGTAAAGACAGCGGCCATAGATTAAGGCAATGTCTACACGCATTCCTCAACACTGATTAGTTAGTGCATGATCTATGGAGATGTTGATATTACGAAGAGCTAATGTTGATTCATTTCTTCAACATAAGCAGACAAAAGAAACGCTTGAGGCTCATCGGATGTCATTAGTTGAAAATACCTCTGATAGTTACAGTTTGATAAAAAACAAGAGTCATAAAGACATGACATATCCTCCTGGTCTGGTGCAATTCGGAAATGGAGTTTGGCTACTTATACCACACTTTTGGTTCATTGCCATTGGATACCTTCAGCTGAGTGAAGAAAAAAATAATGCGGTTCAATATTTTTCAAAATCCCAAATCATCAAAAGGCACCAGTTCACCACTAGACTGATCTGTATAGCAAGTTTCATCTGGAAATATCTAGGTTTTGAAGAGCTGCTCAGGAAACAAGTACCACCCTCATTTTCAGTTTTAGTCCAACTTGTCGTCATGAAAAAATAAATCTGTTAGGGTCATATATGGATAGAGATGCAAATATCAAAGGTCAAGTAGGGACTACTTTCAGTGTTTACAAACAAACATGGCGTCGCCCTTGTCATTTGGCGATTGAGTCAGAATTAACCATCGGGAATCTGGAATATACTGAAAATCAGTGTCTAACTGTGATGTACGTAGCTAAGGCATTTTATAACTTTTGGCAACTTTGGAGATATAAATTTCGAAACAATTATGCGAGGGCACTAGGCCTAGCCAAGCGTGATCAGTAGCCATATCTGTGCTTGTCGACCTCTGCAGCTTGAAACCTTTTCCACAAATTAAAATAGTTGGATTTGGCCAAAATATGTTTGAATTGTTACCTTATTTTGTTTTGTCGCTGTGTGTACATCTGACTGTACTTAACGTTATGGCCGGACAGACCGACTGTCAACAACGTCTGAACGTGGCTGTGACGTCTCATAGACTAGGGTTAGAGTAGCTTCCCTTTGACAAAGGGCAGTTACTCTAGAGGACATACAGATAGATTGCTGCGAAAGGCAAGTAAAAACAATTGTTGTTTTGCGTATATGTTGCTTCACCACTGTATAAGAAACAGATTTTAGTTGGAGCTATATTGGCTACTGTCACTGTCCGACTGACACATCACTTACCGTGACTGCACGTATTTAAGCCCTGGGCTTAATTACAGATTTTGCCTATTTTAATAAGGTAACATTTTATCCAAATTTAAGCCCAGGGCTTAAATTCGAAAAAAGGACAAAAACATGCTACGAAAAATGAATATCTCAAGTTTAATGAAACAATACTCACAACTGGAATGAAACAAAACACTTTAACATAAAAAAAATGATTTTCTTTTTCAAATTTGAAAAGTTCAAAATTGTAAAGACAGCTTAGACACTCGATGTGAGTTCTTTAATGACTGTAAATCAGTCTTCTACTTCATCTTCTGAGGTGGAAGATTCAAAGGGATCGTCGTCTTTGTTCTCATCCGAGTGAACAAAGCCTTCAGAGGATTGGAGGATGTCTCGTAGTCGGGAGTTCAGATTTTCCTTTGGTACGTCATTGCCGAACTGAGCAACACCACACAGCTGAAAGGAATTGATGACGACAGAAGATGGGATCGATTCCACCGATTCCGAAACCATCTGGAGAAGAACATCATAAGATGGCTTCTTTCTGTTCCCGGTTGGGGTGAATTCTTTGTCCCCGTTGATCAACCAATCCTGCCAAGCTTTTCTCATTGCAGTCTTGAATGGAGCGTTGACCCCACCTGACACATCAAGAGGCTGGAGGAATAAGTTTAGTGGCGATATTCAGGGACTTCAGTGACTTTACCACAGGATCAGTGTAATGACTTCTGTGACTGTCTATCAAGAGTAGAGATGGTTGATTCGCAAAATACGATCCACGGGATTTGAACACGCGTTCTATCCAAGAAAGCATCAGCGTTTCATTCATTGAACCTCCTTTGGACGCAAACAACTCAATGTTCTTTGGAACTTTGCATTTTGGGAGGTGGACCAGATTCTTGAGAATGACCATGACCTTGAGGATACGCCCATCCAAGCATGTACACAGAACAACGGTGAATCTGTTTTTGTCGTGTGCAGTTGTCAGGCCATTAACGTTCTTCGATCCAACAAAGTCGAGTGTTGTCTGCCCTGCTATGTCGATGTAACATGGAGTTTCATCCATGTTAAATATCTGGTCTTGTCGAGTTCTGCTGCCAACTGTTGCACACCACGGAGATGATCTTAGCTGACCATTCGCTGAATCATTAAGTTCTGTTTGTCCTGCTGTCTGTGATGGGTGATCTTCCTGGATGAAATGTTATGGCGTATGCAAAATTTACGGAGCCAAGAATCACTAATTTTTAGCAATTCGCTAATTCCCATTTCCTTCATCAGCGTTAATGCCTGGTCCCTCATATTGATGTAATTCACAACGTGCTTTTCAGCTCTTTGTTCTTTAAACCACACCAAGAATGCTTCTTCGAGGTCTGGTTCTTGCGGTTTACGCCCAGGATTGCCCATGCGACGTTTGTTATTTGACATGACCTGTTCCTCCGACATCCATCTTCTGAGATTTTTTCGATCAATATTTAATTCTCTGGCAGCCCTGCTTAAATTACCTTCAAACTCATTTTAAACTCTCTGTACAGCTTCTAATTTTTGACCTAACGTAAATGATTTTCTGGACGCCATGACTTTAAACTTGAACTGTTATTTCCTGTAAAATGTTAGGCAATTTGTTAATGTCCTTTTCTCTGCCAATGAATATAAACAATGCAGGAATTTCAAGTCCACCTTGCAGTAGATTAGAACGTGTTGGTTTATGTGACAGAATTTCTACTTGAATGACACCTCCATGAAGAAGAAAGTAGTTGCACAATTTACTCTGTTGAACGGGAACGTGACCCACAATGACGTTATTATCCAGTACCGACACGGCGTGTCTGTCATATGCGTTCAAACTGTCACACTTAGTTTCAAGAATGTCACCTATGTTAGGGGTCCTATGCGTCTTGTATACCGTATTTTCTTGAGTATAGTGCGCACTTTTTTTCGAAAAAAACACAGCTGTGTAGAAGGGGGTGCGCATTATACACGAATTATGAGTTTGGATGTTTTTTTCCCCAATGGAAAGACATTACCGTGAGCACGAAACACCTTGAACAGATGTTAGTTGACAGAGAATGGATACATATATCATAAATGACATACTTTGACTCATTAAAAGTCATATTTGTTTTTGTTTGACAATTCTATGTCAACATGAAATTCACGCGATCACGTGCGCGTGAGCCTTGACAGTGACTGGTCAGACTGGTTACATGTAAAAAATAATACCCGGGAATAGCAATCAGCTGCTTCGCTTAGGGTTATTATTATTTTAAATATGTTTAGTAAAGGCTGCATATAATTAAGAAAATAATGGAATATATTATTCCTGATAAAAAAAAGAAGTTTCAGATACAATTGTTGCCGATCCTTGCATTAAAAATCCTATAAAGTTATATCATTGGGTGTGTCTTGACCGAATCACCGGTCGATTCCAAGAAAAAGTGTGTACAGCTGATTGCTTTTTCCGGCTTAGTTTACGAGAAAATACACAAGGTAATCTTAATCCCTAGATATAAAACAATGCCTAGCAGAACAATAAATACTATTTAAACGGTAAATAAAGATGTCTGGTGATTTTTTATCTCAAATTTCGAATTTGTACTGACGAAGTTTCTCAGCACCCGTTTGTTTGCTGGACTTCGCTGAAAGGGTACGGTGTAAAAATTTTCTGCGCATAATATTGAAATTTATTTTTTTTCAAAATATTGAACCCGCTAGAGGGGGGTGCGCACTATACTCAAGAAAATACGGTACTTTTTGTGAATTTTGATTTCTTTAATTTGTTCCATCAGAATATTCTCAAAGCCACATGTGACCTAATGCCAGAGCAAGGTGATAGGTTGATATACCAGTAATACAACAGGGCGACATGTAACCTGATGCCAGAGCAAGGTGATAGGTTGATATACCAGTAATACAACAGGGCGACATGTAACCTGATGCCAGAGCAAGGTGATAGGTTGATATACCAGTAATACAACAGGGCGACATGTAACCTGATGCCAGAGCAAGGTGATAGGTAGATATACCAGTAATACAACAGGGCGACATGTAACCTGATGCCAGAGCAAGGTGATAGGTTGATATACCAGTAATACAACAGGGCGACATGTAACCTGATGCCAGAGCAAGGTGATAGGTTGATATACCAGTAATACAACAGGGCCACATGTGACCTGATACCAGAGCAAGGTGATAGGTTTATATAACAACACTTTTTTCTTACCTGGGCTCAATTATGTACAGATGATCATGGCCATACACTATATTATTGCTGATTACAGTATACATCAATATTCACTCACCTTCATTCAAATATGATGCATTTTACAAGTGATTAAGTATGATGCATTTACAAACTGACTGCCTACCCTTTGTTACAGACTATATGACATGTAATGATATATCAACTGCCTACCCTTTGTTACAGACTATATGACATGAAATGATGCATCAGCTGCTTACCCTTTGTTACAGATTATATGACATGTAATAATATATCAACTGCCTACCCTGTTACAGACTATATGACATGTAATGATGCATCAGCTGCTTAACCTTTGTTACAGACTATATGACATGTAATGATGTATCAACTGCCTACCCTTTGTTACAGACTATATGACATGTAATGATGCATCAACTGCTTACCCTTTGTTACAGACTATATGACATGTAATGATGTATCAGCTGCTTACCCTTTGTTACAGACTGTATGACATGTAATGATGTATCAGCTGCTTACCCTTTCTTACAGACTATATGACATGTAATGATGTATCAGCTGCTTACCCTTTGTTACAGACTATATGACATGTAATGATGTATCAGCTGCTTACCCTTTGTTACAGACTATATGACATGTAATGATGTATCAGCTGCTTACCCTTTGTTACAGACTATATGACATGTAATGATGTATCAGCTGCTTACCCTTTGTTACTGACTATATGACATGTAATGATGTATCAGGTGCTTACCCTTTGTTACAGAATATATGACATGTAATGATGTATCAGCTGCTTACCCTTTGTTACAGACTATATGACATGTAATGATGTATCAGCTGCTTACCCTTTGTTACAGACTATATGACATGTAATGATGTATCAGCTGCCTACCCTGTTACAGACTATATGACATGTAATGATGTATCAACTGCTTACCCTTTGTTACAGAATATATGACATGTAATGATGTATCAGGTGCTTACCCTTTGTTACAGACTATATGACATGTAATGATGCATCAGCTGCTTACCCTTTGTTACAGACTATATGACATGTAATGATGTATCAGCTGCTTACCCTCCTACAGACTATATGAGATGTAATGATGTATCAGCTGCTTACCCTTTGTTACAGACTATATGACATGTAATGATGTATCAACTGCTTACCCTTTGTTACAGAATATATGACATGTAATGATGTATCAGGTGCTTACCCTTTGTTACAGACTATATGACATGTAATGATGCATCAGCTGCTTACCCTTTGTTACAGACTATATGACATGTAATGATGCATCAGCTGCTTACCCTTTGTTACAGACTATATCAGTATATGATGTATCAACTGCTTACCCTTTGTTACTGACTATATGACATGTAATGATGTATCAACTGCTTACCCTTTGTTACAGAATATATGACATGTAATGATGTATCAGCTGCTTACCCTTTGTTACAGAATATATGACATGTAATGATGTATCAGCTGCTTACCCTTTGTTACAGACTATATGACATGTAATGATGTATCAGCTGCTTACCCTTTGTTACAGACTATATGACATGTTATGATGTATCAGCTGCTTACCCTTTGTTTCAGACTATATGACATGTAATGATGTATCAGCTGCTTACCCTTTGTTACAGACTATATGACATGTAATGATGTATCAGCTGCTTACCCTTTGTTACAGAATATATGACATGTAATGATGTATCAGCTGCTTACCCTTTGTTACAGACTATATGACATGTTATGATGTATCAGCTGCTTACCCTTTGTTACAGACTATATGACATGTAATGATGCATCAGCTGCTTACCCTTTGTTACTGACTATATGACATGTAATGATGTATCAGCTGCTTACCCTTTGTTACAGACTATATGACATGTAATGATGTATCAACTGCTTACCCTTTGTTACAGACTATATGACATGTAATGATGTATCAGCTGCTTACCCTTTGTTACAGACTATATGACATGTAATGATGTATGAGCTGCTTGTCCTTTGTTTCAGACTATATGACATGTAATGATGCATCAGCTGCACGTCTGAGAAGACTGAAGGACATGTTGCGGTGGTACTACCCCCACCATGCCAACATCGACATGCTACAAAGGGATGGCAGACAGATGCAGGACAGTCTTTATTCCAAGGTGAAATGAAACATGTTATTTTGTTTTTGCTTCCCTTCTTTGCCAATTGTAACAATATTGATGAATGGTACCGTGTGTCAGAGGAACACTTATTATATGGGATTAAGTATCATTATTTAGGGATTTTGGGGGGACTATTCAGTCTATCTTGTTTGTCAAGGCTGGCTAAGTAAAAACAACATATGAGTAAAAGAACTTGCCAGATTTAATGTCAAACAAATATGTTTGGTGCCATATAAATTTGAACAATACTTTTTGATCCTGTAACTCTTCAAAGATGGCATCATCTTCTCCTTTAGCATGTCATAAGAGGGCTTCCTTACCTTTACAAGCGACCCTCATACAGCCTGTTGAAAGTGCAGGAGTTACCTGTACAGAAAGCCTTTTATGAAACTCACCGGTGTCTCTCACGAAGGCCAGGAGGTAGGACACAGACAAGAAAAAGTTGACGATATAATGTCTCAATCTGACATGTCATCTACACCACCGCCTAATCAACTGAATTCCTATCAGTTTGCTGGAGCTGTTGTTTGTTCAACAAAAGGCCGAGATGGCCTCATTATTAATTCTTGTTTTTTGGCTCTATTGCTGAAAAGACTTGATTCTAACTAGGCTCAGAAGAATCCTCCAGCCAATGGGCTGCATGGAGGAATGTTCCTATCAGAGCCATGTCCATCTTCATCTGCCAGCGCTACATACGGGATACTCACTTGTCCATCAATGTTACCGCACAGTCCTTCCAAACGTCTGGTTAAACCAGCAGATAAGCCACCACATACGAACCGCACAGGCAACACTGATCGACAGTTTGCAGTAGCCGATACAGCTCCGCCACTGTACAGTCCCCACACAGAATAGTACACATGCCCCTCGGGCTACACTGATCATCAGTCTGCAGTAGCCGATACAGGTCGGCCACCGTACAGTCCCCACACAGAATACTACACATGCCGCATGGGCTACACTGATCATCAGTCTGCAGTAGCCGATACAGCTCGGCCACTGTACAGTCCCCACACAGAATAGTACACATGCCCCTCGGGCTACACTGATCATCAGTCTGCAGTAGCCGATACAGCTCGGCCACTGTACAGTCCCCACACAGAATACTACACATGCCGCATGGGCTACACTGATGATCAGTCTGTAACACTGACCGCCATGTTGTGTTGCAGGTACTTGTTGATGCTCCATGTAACACTGACCTCCATGTTGTGTTGCAGGTGATTGTTGATGCTGCATGTAACACTGACTGCAATGTTGTGTTGCAGGTGATTGTTGATGCTCCATGTTACGCTGACCGCCATGTTGTGTTGCAGGTGATTGTTGATGCTCCATGTAACACTGACCGCCATGTTGTGTTGCAGGTGATTGTTGATGCTCCATGTAACACTGAACCTCCATGTTGTGTTGCAGGTGATTGTTGATGCTCCATGTAACACTGAACCTCCATGTTGTGTTGCAGATGATTGTTGATGCTCCATGTAACACTGACCTCCATGTTGTGTTGCAGGTGCTTGTTGATGCTCCATGTAATACTGACCTCCATGTTGTGTTGCCGGTGATTGTTGATGCTCCATGTAACACTGAACCTCCATGTTGTGTTGCAGGTGATTGTTGATGCTCCATGTAACACTGACCTCCATGTTGTGTTGCAGGTGATTGTTGATGCTCCATGTAATACTGACCTCCATGTGTGTTGCAGGTGATTGTTGATGCTCCATGTAACACTGACCTCCATGTTGTGTTGCAGGTGCTTGTTGATGCTCCATGTAATACTGACCTCCATGTTGTGTTGCCGGTGATTGTTGATGCTCCATGTAACACTGAACCTCCATGTTGTGTTGCAGGTGCTTGTTGATGCTCCATGTAATACTGACCTCCATGTTGTGTTGCCGGTGATTGTTGATGCTCCATGTAACACTGAACCTCCATGTTGTGTTGCAGGTCATTGTTGATGCTCCATGTAACACTGACCTCCATGTTGTGTTGCAGGTGATTGTTGATGCTCCATGTAATACTGACCTCCATGTTGTGTTGCCGGTGACTTTTGATGCTCCATGTAACACTGAACCTCCATGTTGTGTTGCCGGTGATTGTTGATGCTCCATGTAATACTGACCTCCATGTTGTGTTGCCGGTGATTGTTGATGCTCCATGTAACACTGACCTCCATGTTGTGTTGCCGGTGATTGTTGATGCTCCATGTAACACTGACCATCATGTTGTGTTGCAGATGATTGTTGATGCTCCATGTGACACTGACCTCCATGTTGTGTTGCAGGTGATTGTTGATGCTGCATGTAACACTGACCGCCATGTTGTGTTGCAGGTGCTTGTTGATGCTCCATGTAACACTGAACCTCCATGTTGTGTTGCAGGTGATTGTTGATGCTCCATGTAACACTGACCATCATGTTGTGTTGCAGGTGATTGTTGATGCTCCATGTTACACTGACCTCCATGTTGTGTTGCAGGTGCTTGTTGATGCTCCATGTAACACTGACCGCCATGTTGTGTTGCAGGTGATTGTTGATGCTCCATGTTACACTGACCTCCATGTTGTGTTGCAGGTGATTGTTGATGCTCCATGTAACACTGACCGCCATGTTGTGTTGCAGGTGCTTGTTGATGCTCCATGTAACACTGACCATCATGTTGTGTTGCAGGTGATTGTTGATGCTCCATGTAACACTGACCGCCATGTTGTGTTGCAGATGCTTGTTGATGCTCCATGTAATACTGACCTCCATCTTGTGTTGCAGGTGATTGTTGATGCTGCATGTAACACTGACCTCCATGTTGTGTTGCAGATGCTTGTTGATGCTCCATGTAACACTGACCTCCATCTTGTGTTGCAGGTGATTGTTGATGCTGCATGTAACACTGACCTCCATGTTGTGTTGCAGATGCTTGTTGATGCTCCATGCAACACTGAATCTCCATGTTGTTTTGCAGGTGATTGTTGATGCTCCATGTAACACTGACCTCCATGTTGTGTTGCAGATGCTTGTTGATGCTCCATGTAACACTGACCTCCATGTTGTGTTGCAGGTGATTGTTGATGCTCCATGTAACACTGACCTCCATGTTGTGTTGCAGGTGCTTGTTGATGCTCCATGTAACACTGACCGCCATGTTGTGTTGCAGGAACTAGTTGATGCTCCATGTTACACTGACCGCCATGTTGTGTTGCAGATGCTTGTTGATGCTCCATGTAACACTGACCGCCATGTTGTGTTGCAGGTGCTTGTTGATGCTCCATGTAACACTGACCATCATGTTGTGTTGCAGGTGATTGTTGATGCTCCATGTAACACTGACCGCCATGTTGTGTTGCAGATGCTTGTTGATGCTCCATGTAATACTGACCTCCATCTTGTGTTGCAGGTGATTGTTGATGTTGCATGTAACACTGACCTCCATGTTGTGTTGCAGATGCCTGTTGATGCTCCATGCAACACTGAATCTCCATGTTGTTTTGCAGATGATTGTTGATGCTCCATGTAACACTGACCTCCATGTTGTGTTGCAAGTGCTTGTTGATGCTCCATGTAACACTGACCTCCATGTTGTGTTGCAGGTGCTTGTTGATGCTGCATGTAACACTGACCTCCATTTTGTGTTACAGGTACTTGTTGATGCTCCATGTAACACTGAATCTCCATGTTGTGTTGCAGGTGATTGTTGATGCTCCATGTAACACTGACTGCCATGTTGTGTTGCAGGTGATTGTTGATGCTCCATGATATACTTACCACCATGTTGTGTTGCAGGTGCTTGTTGATGCTCCATGTAACACTGACCACCATGTTGTGTTGCCGGTGATTGTTGATGCTCCATGTAACACTGACCTCCATGTTGTGCTGCAAGTGCTTGTTGATGCTCCATGTAACACTGACCTCCATGTTGTGTTGCAGGTTCTTGTTGATGCTGCATGTAACACTGACCTCCATTTTGTGTTGCAGGTACTTGTTGATGCTCCATGTAACACTGAATCTCCATGTTGTGTTGCAGGTGATTGTTGATGCTCCATGTAACACTGACTGCCATGTTGTGTTGCAGGTGATTGTTGATGCTCCATGATATACTTAGCACCATGTTGTGTTGCAGGTGATTGTTGATGCTCCATGTAACACTGACCTCCATGTTGTGTTGCAGGTGATTGTTGATGCTCCATGTAACACTGAACCTCCATGTTGTGTTGCAGGTGCTTGTTGATGCTCCATGTAACAGTCACCATCATGTTGTGTTGCAGATGATTGTTGATGCTCCATGTAACACTGAACCTCCATGTTGTGTTGCAGGTGATTGTTGATGCTCCATGTAACACTGACCACCATGTTGTGTTGCAGGTGATTGTTGATGCTCCATGTAACACTGACCTCCATGTTGTGTTGCAGGTGCTTGTTGATGCTCAATGTAACACTGAACCTCCATGTTGTGTTGCAGGTGCTTGTTGATGCTCCATGCAACACTGACCTCCATGTTGTGTTGCAGGTGCTTGTTGATGCTGCATGTAACACTGACCTCCATGTTGTGTTGCAGGTGATTGTTGATGCTCAATGTAACACTGAACCTCTATGTTGTGTTGCAGTTGCTTGTTGATGCTCCATGTAACACTGACCTCCATGTTGTGTTGCAGGTGATTGTTGATGCTCCATGTAACACTGACCTCCATGTTTTGTTGCAGGTGCTTGTTGATGCTCAATGTAACACTGAACCTCCATGTTGTGTTGCAGGTGCTTGTTGATGCTCCATGTAACACTGACCTCCATCTTGTGTTGCAGGTGCTTGTTGATGCTGCATGTAACACTGACCTCCATGTTGTGTTGCATGTGATTGTTGATGCTCAATGTAATACTGACCTCCATGTTGTGTTGCAGGTACTTGTTGATGCTCCATGTAACACTGAACCTCCATGTTGTGTTGCAGGTTCTTGTTGATGCTCCATGTAACACTGACCTCCAAGTTGTGTTGCAGGTGATTGTTGATGCTCCATGTAACACTGAACCTCCACGTTGTGTTGAAGGTACTTGTTGATGCTCTATGTAACACTGACTGCCATGTTGTGTTGCAGGTGCTTGTTGATGCTCCATGTAACACTGACCACTATGTTGTGTTGCAGGTGCTTGTTGATGCTCCATTTTGTGTTGCAGGTGATTGTTGATGCTCCATGTAACACTGACCGTCATGTTGTGTTGCAGGTGCTTGTTGATGCTCAATGTAACACTGACCACCATGTTGTGTTGCAGGTGCTTGTTGATGCTCCATGTTGTGTTGCAGGTGGTTGTTGATGCTCCATGTAACACTGCCCGCCATGTTGTGTTGCAGGTGCTTGTTGATGCTCCATGTAACACTGACCGTCATGTTGTGTTGCAGGTGCTTGTTGATGCTCCATGCAACACTGACCTCCATGTTGTGTTGCAGGTGCTTGTTGATGCTGCATGTAACACTGACCTCCATGTTGTGTTGCAGGTGATTGTTGATGCTCAATGTAACACTGAACCTCTATGTTGTGTTGCAGTTGCTTGTTGATGCTCCATGTAACACTGACCTCCATGTTGTGTTGCAGGTGATTGTTGATGCTCCATGTAACACTGACCTCCATGTTTTGTTGCAGGTGCTTGTTGATGCTCAATGTAACACTGAACCTCCATGTTGTGTTGCAGGTGCTTGTTGATGCTCCATGTAACACTGACCTCCATGTTGTGTTGCAGGTGCTTGTTGATGCTGCATGTAACACTGACCTCCATGTTGTGTTGCATGTGATTGTTGATGCTCAATGTAATACTGACCTCCATGTTGTGTTGCAGGTACTTGTTGATGCTCAATGTAACACTGAACCTCCATGTTGTGTTGCAGGTTCTTGTTGATGCTCCATGTAACACTGACCTCCAAGTTGTGTTGCAGGTGATTGTTGATGCTCCATGTAACACTGAACCTCCACGTTGTGTTGAAGGTACTTGTTGATGCTCCATGTAACACTGACCTCCATGTTGTGTTGCAGGTGCTTGTTGATCATCAATGTAACACTGAACCTCCATGTTGTGTTGCAGGTGCTTGTTGATGCTCTATGTAACACTGACCGCCATGTTGTGTTGCAGGTGCTTGTTGATGCTCCATGTAACACTGACCACTATGTTGTGTTGCAGGTGCTTGTTGATGCTCCATTTTGTGTTGCAGGTGATTGTTGATGCTCCATGTAACACTGACCGTCATGTTGTGTTGCAGGTGCTTGTTGATGCTCAATGTAACACTGACCACCATGTTGTGTTGCAGGTGCTTGTTGATGCTCCATGTTGTGTTGCAGGTGGTTGTTGATGCTCCATGTAACACTGCCCGCCATGTTGTGTTGCAGGTGCTTGTTGATGCTCCATGTAACACTGACCGTCATGTTGTGTTGCAGGTGCTTGTTGATGCTCCATGTAACACTGACCGCCATGTTGTGTTGCAGGTGCTTGTTGATGCTCCATGTAACACTGACCGCCATGTTGTGTTGCAGGTGCTTGTTGATGCTCCATGTAACACTGACCTCCATGTTGTGTTGCAGGTGCTTGTTGATGCTCCATGTAACACTGACCGCCATGTTGTGTTGCAGGTGCTTGTTGATGCTCCATGTAACACTGACCGCCATGTTGTGTTGCAGGTGATTGTTGATGCTCCATGTAACACTGACCTCCATGTTGTGTTGCAGGTGCTTGTTGATGCTCCATGTAACACTGACCGCCATGTTGTGTTGGAAGATAAGAATAACCTGTTCAAGCACACCAGAGTCAGTGAGAGACTTGAGCTACCACGCAGACAGAAAGACTTGCTCATGTGAGAATTTCTATCTTCACTACTTGTTAGGAGAGGGACATCATTAGTAAACTCTAAGATCGTCAAGTAGTGTTGAATAATGACCCACAAGACATTTTGGGCATTGATGATTAGTTCAATTGTTTAATAGATTCTGCCAAACCCAGCAAATAGTGCCATGGTACTGTCGATCACCTTGTCTGGATATTAATAATATTTTTCATATTGGCTGCTGTGGCATGTACCAAGTTTCATTACTTTTTGAAAACAAAATAACTGAGTAATGGCCAGAAATAGATTATTCATTAGGCTTCAGTGGTGACCATATTGAAATTTGGATTTGAACCTCTTGAACAAATAGGCTGGCACCAGTTGTAAGATCAAGCAGTTTCAGCTTCACTGGCCTAGTGTTCTTAGGAGATCATGTTTACAGTGTGAATCGTGAAGATCCGGGGTAGAATAGTTCTTTAGCAACCAATGCTTGCTGAAAAGGGACTAGGCTTGTCGTAAGAGGCGACTAACGGTATCAGGTGGTCAGACTCGCTGACATAGAGATAACTACACTCGTGCCTGTCAGATACCATTTATCTTACAACTCTTCGTAAGATGAATGGTATCTGACAGGTACGAGTGTAGTAATCTGTTTCTTACACACCCTAAAATCCCACCTTTAGCATCGAATTGATGCATTTTGTCCATTCTCATGATCGCAGTGGCGCATTGATACATAACACCATGGTCATGAGTGACGTCATCCTATGTACTGCATACTACGCATAAATATTGTGACCCTACACAAAAAGGTTTCCACCAAATCTGTAGATTATCAAGGCGATGATGATAATGCAAACGATAAAATCAAAGAACATGCTTGATGCCAAGTTAAAAGTTTTCACCTCAAAGAAATGACCAAATATGTACAACAATGTTTACTTCTGTATGACATCACTGCCGGTGACAGACTTTTACAAAATGGCGTTTTCACTGACAACAGTACGCAGGATTTCCAGAGGAGGATTTTCGTTGATTGAGGGATCGTATGTACATAAATGTGTCATTTAAGTAATCAGAAACATTCTGACAATCTGCGTACTGTTATTTGTTTTATGTTTTCCAGTGTAGCCAAGAGTATTAGTCAGAAATGCAGATAACTACCGTCGTCGTCGTGCGTGACTTTCTGTAGGTTCCTGGATGATACTGGGTTCCTGGCCTTCCAGCCTACAAGCAACACACTCTGCCAGTAGCTATGGTGCCTTACACCACTCGGTTTTAGTGAGAGCCATGTTGTATTCAAGTCAAGTATTTTCCCAATTTAAAAGAGTAATTGTCAGATATATTTAGCAATAAGTTGACTAAACTTGGGCAGGTAGTTGAAATCACCAACTGTTCGTGTTGTGTTTCAGAGCTGGCATCAAGTGTTGTAAACCTGGCGGTTCAGTGGTGTACTCCACCTGCACACTGTCCCCGGCACAGAACGATGGAGTCATACAGTCAGTCGTGGAGGAAATATGGCAACAAACAGACATAGACATTGTTATTCAGGATCTCAGTTGGATAGCCTCCAAGTTTCGCAATACATTCAGATTCTACAGTAACTGTCGGCATGGACAGTTGGTGCTGCCTTGCTTAACAGCCAACTTTGGACCTATGTACTTCAGCAAGATAATACGAATCAAGTAACTTGAGTCTCACAAATAAACAGTGTGTTGAAGTACTATTTCTCTTTGTTCCACAACATTTGCAAAGCTATAATGTACTAATTTTATTCACATTACATGAAGCTAAAAAGTGGAAGAGCGTCTGCCCAGAGAGCGGAAAGTCTGGGGTTCAATCCCCGGCCTCATCATACCAAAGGATGTTAAAAGATGGTACTTGTTGTTACCCTGCCTGGCACTCAGTGTTAAGGGGATAAAACAAGGACTGGTCAGCTTTGAGTCAGTATACTGTGTCTGAGTGGGGTATTCATGTTAAACTGTGGCATGGTATCTCAGTGGGTTAGCACTATAACAACAACATTAGTCAGGACTAGTACAAGCTGCCACACACACACACACGTGCATGAACATCGCTATATAAGTACATAATCTTGGATGGGGCCTTAAACCCCATTTCACCTACATGTGATGATCTCAAACACATCACCTACATGTGATGATCTCAACACATCACCTACAAGAGATGATCTCAACACATCACCTACAAGAGATGATCTCAACACATCACCTACAAGAGATGATCTCAACACATCACCTACAAGAGATGATCTCGACACATCACCTACAAGAGATGATCTCAACACATCACCTACAAGAGATGATCTCAACACATCACCTACAAGAGATGATCTCAACACATCACCTTCATGTGATGATCTCAACACATCATCTACAAGAGATGATCTCAACACATCACCTACATGAGATGATCTCAACACATCACCTACAAGAGATGATCTCAACACATCACCTTAACGAGTTGATCTCAACACATCACCTTCACGAGTTGATCTCAACACATCACCTACATGAGTGGATCTCAACACATCACCTTCATGAGTTGATCTCAACACATCACCTTCATGAGTTGATCTCAACACATCGCCTGAGATGATCTTGTCACATCACCTACACGAGTTAATCTCAACACATCACCTTCACGAGAGGATCTCAACACATCACCTACATGAGATGATCTCAACACATCGCCTGAGATGATCTTGTCACATCACCTACACGAGATGATCTCAACACATCACCTACACGAGATGATCTCAACACATCACCTACATGAGATGATCTCAACACATCATTTCATGAGATGATCTCCACACATCACCTTCATGTGATGATCTCAACACATCACCTACAAGAGATGATCTCAACACATCATTTCATGAGATGATCTCAACACATCACCTACATAAGATGATCTCAACACATCACCTACAAGGGATGATCTCAACACATCACCTACAAGAGATGATCTCAACACATCACCTACAGGAGATGATCTCAACACATGACCTACACGAGTTGATCTCAACACATCACCTACATGAGATGATCTCAACACATCACCTACATGAGATGATCTCAACACATCACCTTCATGTGATGATCTCAACACATCACCTACAAAAGATGATCTCAACACATCATTTCATGAGATGATCTCAACACATCATCTTCAAGAGATGATCTCAACACATCACCTTCACGAGTTGATCTCAACACATCACCTACATGAGATGATCTCAACACATCACCTTCATGAGTTGATCTCAACACATCACCTACAAAAGATGATCTCAACACATCATTTCATGAGATGATCTCAACACATCATCTTCAAGAGATGATCTCAACACATCACCTTCACGAGTTGATCTCAACACATCACCTACATGAGATGATCTCAACACATCACCTTCATGAGTTGATCTCAACACATCACCTTCACGAGTTGATCTCAACACATCACCTACATGAGATGATCTCAACACATCACCTGAGATGATCTTGTCAGTTGTCACATCACCTACATGAGATGATCTCAACACATCACCTGAGATGATCTCAACACATCACCTACACGAGATGATCTCAACAGATCACCTACACGAGATGATCTCAACACATCACCTTACTGAGTTGATCTCAACACAGCATCTTCATGAGTTGATCTCAACACATCGCCTGAGATGATCTCAACACATCACCTACACAAGATGATCTCAACACATCACCTACATGAGATGATGTCAACACATAACCTACATGAGATGATCTAAACACATCACCTGAGATGATCTTGTCAGTTGTCACATCACCTACACGAGATGATCTCAACACATCACCTACATGAGATGATCTAAACACATCACCTGAGATGATCTTGTCAGTTGTCACATCACCTACATGAGATGATCTCAACACATCACCTACATGAGATGATCTCAACACATCGCCTGAGATGATCTTGTCACATCACCTACACGAGATGATCTCAACACATCACCTTCACGAGTTGATCTAAACACATCACCAACATGAGATGATCTCAACACATCACCTCCACGAGTTGATCTCAACACATCACCTTCACGAGTTGATCTCAACACATCACCTACATGAGATGATCTCAACACATCGCTTGAGATGATCTTGTCACATCACCTACATGAGATGATCTCAACACATCACCTACATGAGATGATCTCAACACATCACCTTCATGAGATGATCTCAACACATGACCTACACGAGTTGATCTCAACACATCACCTACATGAGATGATCTCAACACATCACCTTCATGTGATGATCTCAACACATCACCTACAAAAGATGATCTCAACACATCATTTCATGAGATGATCTCAACACATCATCTTCAAGAGATGATCTCAACACATCATTTCATCAGATGATCTCAACACATCACCTACATGAGATGATCTCAACACATCACCAACAAGAGATGATCTCAACACATCACCTACAAGAGATGATCTCAACACATCACCTACAAGAGATGATCTCAACACATCACCTTCATGTGATGATCTCAACACATCATCTAGAAGAGATGATCTCAACACATCACCTACATGAGATGATCTCAACACATCACCTACAAGAGATGATCTCAACACATCACCTTCACGAGTTGATCTCAACACATCACCTACATGAGATGATCTCAACACATCACCTTCACGAGTTGATCTCAACACATCACCTTCACGAGTTGATCTCAACACATCACCTACATGAGTGGATCTCACCACATCACCTTCATGAGTTGATCTCAACACATCGCCTGAGATGATCTTGTCACATCACTTACACGAGTTAATCTCAACACATCACCTTCACGAGATGATCTCAACACATCACCTACATGAGATGATCTCAACACATCGCCTGAGATGATCTTGTCACATCACCTACACGAGATGATCTCAACACATCACCTACACGAGATGATCTCAACACATCACCTACATGAGATGATCTCAACACATCATTTCATGAGATGATCTCCACACATCACCTTCATGTGATGATCTCAACACATGACCTACACGAGATGATCTCAACACATGACCTACACGAGTTGATCTCAACACATCACCTACATGAGATGATCTCAACACATCACCTTCATGTGATGATCTCAACACATCACCTACAAGAGATGATCTCAACACATCACCTACATAAGATGATCTCAACACATCACCTACAAGAGATGATCTCAACACATCACCTACAAGAGATGATCTCAACACATCACCTTCATGAGATGATCTCAACACATGACCTACACGAGTTGATCTCAACACATCACCTACATGAGATGATCTCAACACATCACCTACATGAGATGATCTCAACACATCACCTTCATGTGATGATCTCAACACATCACCTACAAAAGATGATCTCAACACATCATTTCATGAGATGATCTCAACACATCATCTTCAAGAGATGATCTCAACACATCACCTACATGAGATGATGTCAACACATAACCTACATGAGATGATCTCAACACATCACCTTCAAGAGTTGATCTCAACACATCACCTACATGAGATGATCTCAACACATCACCTTCACGAGTTGATCTCAACACATCACCTTCACGAGTTGATCTCAACACATCACCTACATGAGATGATCTCAACACATCACCTGAGATGATCTTGTCAGTTGTCACATCACCTACACGAGATGATCTCAACACATCACCTACAAGAGATGATCTCGACACATCACCTACAAGAGATGATCTCAACACATCACCTACAAGAGATGATCTCAACACATCACCTACAAGAGATGATCTCAACACATCACCTTCATGTGATGATCTCAACACATCACCTACAAGAGATGATCTCAACACATCACCTTAACGAGTTGATCTCAACACATCACCTTCACGAGTTGATCTCAACACATCACCTACATGAGTGGATCTCAACACATCACCTTCATGAGTTGATCTCAACACATCACCTTCATGAGTTGATCTCAACACATCGCCTGAGATGATCTTGTCACATCACCTACACGAGTTAATCTCAACACATCACCTTCACGAGATGATCTCAACACATCACCTACATGAGATGATCTCAACACATCGCCTGAGATGATCTTGTCACATCACCTACACGAGATGATCTCAACACATCACCTACACGAGATGATCTCAACACATCACCTACATGAGATGATCTCAACACATCACCTACAAGAGATGATCTCAACACATCACCTAAAAGAGATGATCTCAGCACATCACCTTCATGAGATGATCTCAACACATGACCTACACGAGTTGATCTCAACACATCACCTACATGAGATGATCTCAACACATCACCTACATGAGATGATCTCAACACATCACCTTCATGTGATGATCTCAACACATCACCTACAAAAGATGATCTCAACACATCATTTCATGAGATGATCTCAACACATCACCTACATGAGATGATCTCAACACATCACCTACAAGAGATGATCTCAACACATCACCTACAAGAGATGATCTCAACACATCACCTTCATAAGATGATCTCAACACATGACCTACACGAGTTGATCTCAACACATTACCTACAAGAGATGATCTCAACACATCACCTACATGAGATGATCTCAACACATCACCTTCATGTGATGATCTCAAC